CTTTAGTGGAAATTGATTTTTCTCATTCACCACATTTCACTGTTCTCATAATTCAAATCAATTCCTGCAACCTACAATGTTCATGCACACATATGATTGGGCCTACATACATACTGTATGTACTGTACATGTACATGTGTACAGTATGTCAATTTTGCAGCTACAGTGTACTGTATACATGTAGATATGCAGTATTCAAGTTTTTATGATTAAGAATGTCAAATCATTATTGAATCAAATAGTTTCCAAGCATTTCCATTTGACTTTTGTAACAGACTAACAGCGCTTAAAAATTGATATATAATATGAAGGCATACTATGTACAGTATTAAAATGGTCATAAATGTACAGTACTTGTTTGGTTGTTGGTCAACATGGTTACAGTTTAGGCTTCATTATTGTATCTGTATGGCTGTAGACCAATGGATACATACAGTACAGTACATATGCATTGTAGGTATTTCAAGCTAACATTATACAAAATTTATTTTTTATCCCTGCAGGCATGAACATGTATGCCATGGATATGTACAATGTTCATGTGCACTACACTACGACACACTGATGTACATTGTGCACTGCCCCAGATGCTGGGCCCATTGATGTATTGTCCACTCACTAATCCCATGTAGACTGGCTATCACTAGGTCTTTGACAGGGGGTGTGTCCTGATCATTGATCTGATCTATTCATCTCTGCTGTATAGGCCTACCCATACATAAAAGGTCCTATTCAATGAACCTATACCAATAACAATGGATCTACTGGGTCCATTATAATTATACCTTGGGGCTGCTGTTTTTATGCTGTGGTAGGATATCTTGATCACATTTGTTTACAGTTTGAAAGCTGATATTCAAGTCATCCTCATGTTGCTCATAGTACATTACAGTACATGTACATGTACATACTGTACAATAATAAATGAGCTTGAATGAGTTTTAGTGTAGTGTTTAATGTCAGTGCACTGGGTGTACAATATACATTACGTACTACATTGTAGTACATGTACTGGTAGGCTTGTAGTTGTAAGAACAGAAAAGTGGAAAAATAGCATTTTTTTATGTGTAATGTTTACATTTATTTTAAATCCTTTGAGAAAAGAGTACTTTCATACTTTCGTACAATTACAATGTACATTTAATGTATGTGGTTAAATTACCTATCACACTGCACTTGTATAAATATTGTACATGCATTTAGTTCTCTTGCATGTTTGATTTTTATTCACAATTTGAAAGCGGATACAACCTACTTTTTATTGATAACCAAATGGAGGAGTTCAGTTAACTATTGACCAAACTATGCATTCCAATCATTCTACAAGAAATGAAAGAAAAAAAGAAAAACCACATCAAAGCTAGCAAACAAACAGCGCTGAAGCATTTTGGCACATATTTGCTACTTTCCTCTCTGGTCAGTCAGAGCTGGCTACACTGTACAAGTGTACATGGTTTCCTGCATGGCAAACAAAGGTTGGGCCCAGGTACTTTGAATATTTGATAGCTTGTCCAGATATGTACATGTAAGAAGTATTCAAAACCCGCACGAAGAAATAAACGTTAAAAGATCTGTGTACAGTGTAAGCAATGCCACCAATACCGTACATCTTGGAAGCCTGTGGTGCATCTTTCCACAGCTCTTGATTCAACAAATTTTTGGCCAGGCAACATTACTGGATCACAATGTACCCCAGAGCATAAGACAAAAACGCTAAGTTAGTTTACTAACTACCGATAACTTACAATTGTAAGTACATTTACATGTAATGCACATACAAAAAATGTAATTAATAAAACTACACAATAAGCCATAATATGACTACAATGTACATGTACATTTACATGCATGCCAAAGTTTACTAGATTAAAGATTTTATGAAATGAAAGACAATCGATAATGCCAAAAAGCCACAGGAAAGACGCGCCACAGGTTTCGCTTAAAAGTTTTGATGTGTCATGGTTTTTATACCGTATCAGGTTTCTACATCTACTACAGAGTACATGTACATGTACATGTACATGTTTATAATATATTAATCTAGATCAAACAGGTGCACTGAAGAATATAAGCAGATTAAAGTCCATCATGTATGAGGAAGTCTTACTTATTTTTTCTCTCCTGCCTAGTTTTCAAATCAATGGCACCATATACTCAGTTTATAAAACAGAACAAAAGTTGATTCAGTTTGAAAGGGAGTTTCACAATGTAATTCTTTGGACTCATTGATTCCTTCTTTATGTCCACTGGAGCAGATAAAACTTTTTTCTTCCTCTCAATAGCCTTGTTCATTTGAGAATACGTGTAAAATAAATTGGAAAATATCAGGGGGAAAAAATGATAAGAACACTCTGGAATGCTACCAAAGTGATCTGGTAAGTACTGGGTATTTCAAAGAATGAAATAAAATCGATAAAAATCATTGCCAATATCTCTATCTGCAACTGCTAATAATTTACGAAAAAAGCTTTCTAGTGTAAAAAAAATAAAAAAAAAAAAAAAAAAAAGGGATTTAATGTATGCACTGTTTTATGTTTAATCTGGCTTTGATTTCAAATGGATATACAGTACATCTACATTACATGCACATACATGTACATGTAGACCTGTACGAACAAGAAATGCACACGTACATGTACTGTACACATGGACAGTACATGTACACTGTACATAGGCTGACTGATTACGTACATGTACAAGAAGCAACTATTAACTTGAATGATTCATAATTTCATAGTGAATCAAGTAAATGAAGAACCCAAAACAGGCAATGGGTAACTTCCCCACTACACCCTCAGTGAGTTACCTCTCATTAGTCTCCTCAAACAGATTCAAATCTTTAATCTGATATTCAAGATAGGACAACCCCACTGGCATGCGTGACCTGTGGTTGTGGGTTACGCAAGCAGCAAGACGTTGGTCTAGACTTTGGACTTGAGGAGGCCACAAGGATACAGTTACAGCTGCATGTGGTTTCATAGTTCAGATAATTTATACATGATTGATACACCACACAGTATACATGTACAGTACATACTTTTATATGCAATGTCTTTCACTTGTTCATTTGCATATTTGTACAGGCAGAAAATGTATTGTGTTGTATTAATCTCTATGGGTATTCTCAAGGGCAGGAAATAATGAAGTGATGAGTGTGTACCACAAACAGTACATGTGCTTTTGTGATGTGACTGCACTTCATTCAGTATGTACATGTGCATAAACAGTAGAAAAATTATAAGCAAAAGGGAGAATTTTTAATTTAATGTTTAAATTTTGATTTCAAATTTGTTCAAAACAATATCATGAGAAATCGGAATGTGGGTTCATTGTAGTTTGTACACATGTCATTTACAAAGAATTGCAATCTTGACTAGTATAGACAATTTTGCTCTCAGTCATATATAATACTTTTTCAACGCCACACTACTGTACAATGTACTGTACATGTCAGTTATAAAAGTGCAAGATACCTGGAGAGTCAGAAAGTATTATGTACATGTACATTCAGCAGTACAAACAGGGACACTGCTTCCAGCTTCGATACATTGGATAGTAAACATTCCTTCTCTTATGTGGATACAATACATCAAGTCCTCCCTCAAATCAGCATGACCAGTAGTAGTACATGTACATGTACACTTTAATAGGCAGGGCTTGAGTGGTTTAAAGGGAAGGATCCTCAGTTTCTATGTGCAGGAGGTCATAATTCGCTGACACCAGACTTGGTGGAAATCCATTAAATGGGTGTACAGTACATGTAACAAGTCTACACACAGCAAACCTTTAGTCCAATTAAAAGAGATACCCTCCTCCCCCAAGTTCTCAGAGAGTCTTTAATTGATGGAAATGTAAGATAATGTACATTACTACATGCACATACATGTATGGGAGAATCACATTTGATTCAATAAAAAGACATGTCTTCTAGATTTCTTGTACTTTTATTAACTATTTTATAGCCATGGATTGAATCCTTGAACTGCCACAGTAATCAGAGAATTTACAGTTTATAACTGTACACTATAGTATCAAGTGACACATGCCAACTGCGGCACTCCTGTTTGTTCCATTGGGCAACCAAAAGTCAGCAGAAAATAAATTAGCAGCAATATCCTCTGTTCCACACAGGAGAACTAACGAGGTGACAGGTGTGAAAATGAGTAATTACGAATCCTAATGCCGGCTCACTTTGAGTGAGCTCTGTTATTCCCACTATGCTAAGCTCTAAATCTGATTGTGGCACTGTACTTTGCCGTTATCCAGCAAAATGAACAGGGAGTATGTACATGTACAGTACATGAGTAATGAAGTGAGGGATAGCCGGGTATCATAATACTTGTATTTGTTTATATTGTGGATTTGGTAGGAAAGGAAAATCAATTCATCGTTAAGAGCTCCAAACTGCATACAGTTATGAAGCATGATCTGTCTTCTTTTTTTTTGTTCTTTCAAAAGATGATTCTTTACCTTTTTTTTTTTTTTTTTTTTTTTGGGGGGGGGGGGGGGGGGTGGGTAACTTGATACTAAATATGCTAATGAGTTGTTAACCCTTGTGTACACTGCCCCCAGACACTTGTGAAGCAAATTTTGAGTGAATGTCAGGCTCCAAGTTATTCTAATCTACAAGTGAGTTCTGTTCCCTCTACCAAATGATGACACCGACTTGACTGTTGAGAAAAGATGTCACAAATGAAAGAAAGAAAAACAAACAAAATGACCAACATTAATACCTACAAGATGGTCACCATGGGGCCGTTTCTCAAAACCGTCATACACTGTCAAGTCTAACTTCTTACTTAGACATCCCATTGAATCCTGTGTTATAGAATTAACACACCTTTCTATGGGATGTCCATGAACTTAGATTTATAACGGTTTTGAGAAAATGGACCACGGTGGTAATCTGGACACTAATCTAGTTTGCAATTTAATTTTTTAAAAGTCATGAAATCTCTGACAATTTGAAATAGTCATAATGTAGCGATTGATCCACTTACCTTTTTGTCCTTGTGCCTTAGACTGGCACTCCTGGCCAACGTTCCTGTTTTCAAGAGCTGTTCCTCAAAATGAACCTCAGACCCGTCCATCCCAGACCTCATGCTCAACTCAATCAGCTCTGGGATGGGCTGGACTTTGAGGGTCACCGCATCACCTGAACTCCGGATCAACTCAATGATGCCATCTCGAGGACTATTCTCCACGTTAGTTCCATTAACTTCCACAAGGCGGTCACCCGGCAGTAGTCCAGTTGCATTTTCTCGCTGAGTTGCACTCGGTTCAGCAAAATGAACCTGTCGACGAGTTATGGCTCCATCAGGTCCGGAGCGCTCTTCGATATTGGTTCTGCGTAGCGTGAATCCAAATCCACCGTTGGGTTGGCGACTAAGAATGACGTCTCTTGCTCGAGGGGGCTTGGGCGGAGCAACTACCGGAAGGCGTAAATCAACATTGAATGTCTTTTCACCAGGGGCTTCTGGTTCAGCTTTGGGATGTGGTATCTGGTACCCAAGCTCTCCATCCACTTCATCTCCTACCCTCTCATTAAACGCAGTATTTTTAGCCAAGAGCACTGTATCATTGACCTTCACAACCACCTCGTTGACAGGAGCATCTGTAGACGCATGACTGGACGACCTAAGCTTCAGAATCCCTTTCCCTTTAGAAGACTTGCGCTTTTTCTCGAACGTTGCCTCCTTGGTGTGCCGCGTCTCTTCGGCTATATTTTCAAGGGGAGGCGCAGAAGCAGGTAGTATCCTGACATCTCCCGTGCTTCCCTTTTCGTAACCAGGCGTGGAAGCCCCACTTGCATCACTCCCGCTTGGGCTGGTCAAGGGACCGTCAACGCTCCTCTCATTGACACCCAGACTGATTTCCATGCTGTACTGACCATTGCTGTGTTCTTCAGGGACCGTGTAGGCGTGGGACTTGACTGGAAGATGACTGGGCGCCCCCGCCTTGTGACGAGAACTCGACTTCTTGAGGCCCTTCTTGATGTCTTCCAGGCGACTCAACTCTTCCTGAGACATTTCCTTGTTTCGCTTAGACTCCTTCTTCTTCTCCTTCTTCTCTTTATCCTTCTTCTTAAAACTGAACATGGTGGTTTAATCCTTAGTACATCCAAGTGTAATCAGATTTGAAAGAAGTCCTTTAGCATTTCAGCTTTATTCCTGAAAATAAGGACAGAATAGAATTAGGAAAATAAAATAATAAGGGAATTACTTTTCCTATAAAATAAAAAGAATAAAATGTTTAATGCATCATTCCTTAAAAATGTGCATCAAATCTTTTATTGCAACACTTCAGCAATTCATTAAGTCTACTATATACACTGCAACCAAAACTCTTTGATTTTTTCACGTTCTGCTGTACCGGCACACAACAAAAAATCAAATTTTTTGAAACGCCTGCTGCAGTTTCACTGATTTTGCAGTGTAAATGCAAACTTTGGTAAGATGTAACAATTTTTGCACGAGAGTCTCTTCACTTCCGTGGTAACGCATGCTGAGTGCCTACAAGTAGCATATATGCGCACTACTCACCAAAACTCACAAAAGATCAGTGTGAGTAAACTTCAGCGGTTTTGTACAGGTTTTTCCAGTACAGTAAATGGTAGTCCCCAAAATAAATGAATTGACATGGTGTTTGGGACTTTGGGCTGTTTTAAAGGGCATAATGTTGGAGTATTAGAAATTTGATATCCATGGAAATCAAATGATAGATTATATATATATCATTACAGACCCAACTAATAAAAGGCCAAGTAGATTCTAGCCTAGATCTAGATCTACATGTAAGTGAAATGAGAAGTTCAAAATAAAGGTTTGTTTTTTCTGACATTTAGTGATTTGTACATGTATGTTGTTAGATCATTGAAAGACAAGAATTTACTTTACGTATGACTATTGATTCACATATCAACTGGGCAGAGATACAGTGGTTGAATAATTTACAAAACATAATCTAAAATGATATTATTATCCTAGACCCTAAATAATGACTTGTGGCAACTCAACCCTCAAGAGGAAACCAATGTTACAACTTATGCATCAATGAAATTAAGTAATATAGATCAAACAGTGAATAACAATTTTACCATAAAAACTGGACTTTTTTATCTTTAACTTTCAAAAGATAAATAAGATTGACTGTGTCTGATTTTTCTCTACAACTCCCACAAGGTGATGTAAATAATTAAATCAGAAATTGTCATAAGTTGAAAGCTGAACAAAACATGTCAAAACAAACAAACAAACAAATACCATGATGTCGATGAATTGTCCACCCCTCTACTCTAAATCTATGTCGACTTCGGGAGGCGACTCAAGAAACTATTTAGCATGATCATGCCCATAGGCCCATTCACCATTGCCATTGCATTGACGCGATCTTTGATCCTTCTGCCTTTCTCCACTCTCGACTGGAGTGTGTGCCCAAACTCTACCAGGGTTTCCAGCCGATACTCGGGCAGAGCAGCATTACAAAACTACCCTCCGTGTTTCCCACTCAATCGGTAACTCGTCGCCTCCTCAACCATCGTCTGTTTTGACATTTCCAACACCATCACAAAAAAGAATGAATTCTTAGCTGACACAAAAATATACAAAATCTAATATCATACAATGTCGTATACCTTCAATTTACCTACCGCATCAAAAATTCCTTCACAATTTCTGTAGATTGTAGTTTTCTCGGTTTGGTTCGAACTTCAAAACTGACGAACATGGCGAGCACAGTGGAGGAATTACGAACACACGCACGGGATATCCCCGGTCTTCAGGTCAAAGTTGGGTCATTCTGATCAGCTGTGTTCGACAAGCCTGGAAATTTCCGAGGCAAGCAATGTAAGTCAATCCTTGTTTTACATCATTTTTTGCTTGATTAAAGTAATTTTTGTATTTGGCATCCAATTCCTTGATGTGTTTGACATAAATGATTGAAATATACATCTGCCATGTCCATGTTAAATGTAAATGTTTGTTGTTTTTGTCGTTTCAATTACTGGAATTGTGTGGCTTGCATTTCCCTGCCATGAATATACCACGGCCAGCTCCAGGCCAGGGCCATGGCAATGCAAGGGCAATGTGTTGCAGCTGCATGCAGTGCCAGGCCACTGAAATGCCAATGCCAGCGCCTGGGCATTGCATTGCTATGGCATTTGCAGGGCCATTACTTTATTGCAGATGCCATTTGGCGTTACATTGGTTGATCATATGTTTTCCACATAACTGTGCATAGACTACTACTAGTACTATTATTACTACTGTACCGACCGACGGTGGGGTGTGGGCGGCGCGAGCGTGTGTTCAGTTAGTACTTAGTAGGCTACAGTTAGAGACCGTAAACTAAGATTACAGTCGCTAACTTAACTTACGCGCGCGCTCGCACCCGACCGTCAGTTTGCGGTGAATCCTGTGAGAAAGTGCATATTGTAAGTCTTGATTTTTAAGAAAATTGACACAAAACAGGTAACAAACATATTGACTTTTATGACCTTTGGACATTTGATGAATATTTTCATTAATTTTTGGTAGTCTATGTTTTAGTAGGGTATCTCCACGCTGGAGTTACGGGTCAAATTTTGGATAGACTTCTGAACTAGCGCTGTATATCGTGTATATATGTAGGCCTAGAATTATGTTGTCGTTCTTTAGTTTTGGCTTTACCAGGGCCCAAACAGCCATTCCAAACTTGGGGTTTGAACTTTCCGTTTTGGATCCCTGTGTTTGACCCACTATAAATATAATCATAGAATCATGTGAAGTTTTGGTGTATCCGAAAAAGGCTGATATCATATTGCCAATTTAATGACTGTATAAAAGTAATTTGATGTAGGGTTTAAAAAAATAGCGCAGATTGTCGCTGCACGCTGAATGCGGACCATTTGTATGCTGGTTTTGAGCTAACTCTAGTGTATCATTTGGTTTTTGAAAAATAAATCTCTTCTTCTTCTTCGTCATAATCTGCCTCCTTCACTCCTGAAGATTCTTGCAAATGAAAGGATGTGTGTGTCACAAAGGACGTGAAGAGCTGAGTGTCTTATTTTACATATTGTAAGGTGCAAGTAAAAATCTTCTAGTATGGTTCTGGGGTAAGCTACTGCATTTTGTCAGTAGTTGACTCTACAAGAGTCTCTACCCTTTTGGAATATACGCTGGGTCGCAAACTAGCGATTTGTAGCCGTTAAAAAATCACTGTTTTTTTTCTTTGTAATCTAGACCTAATGGTTTGATTTTAAAATTACATTGAAAATCAACGAAAAACTTCAAAATATTTGAAAGCTAATGTGCGCAATGAGATTAGTAATCACACTCAAAGTCCATTACATAGCCTCCCCCACACACTGCACTTCAGTCTCTGTATAGAGGCGGTCGGTGGAGTCAGACGTGCCTGTTGTCACAGTGGAACAAGCGTCATGTTTTTAAAAGAGACTGAAGCTTTTAGTCTATGGTCAGGCCAGCTCAGTTTGCAGAGTGCAGACTCAACAGTTGTTGTGCAGCTTTATGTTTCAAGAGATGAAATGCATCTCACAAATTGGTCATTTTGCTTCATCAAGAAAATGTCTGCACTCATTATCTAATCACATTTCAAAATTATTACAATTTCTATGACCGATCTGCTTTTTCCTTTTTATGTACCGGTAAATGTTGATGTAAATGTTTTATTGAATTAAAATCATAGAGACAGTTACTGTATATCTTTTATTCATAATCATTCATATTCATACTGTATATTTTATCAAAACTTAACAGAAAATAATGCAATCTTTGTTAGGGTATATGCAAAACATGTCATTAAAGAACACCTGCACAAGGTGCACAGCATGAGGAAACCATGTTCTTAGACAAAAATTCAGAATTATTATTAACAAAAACAAAACAATTTAAATGGATAGTAGCTGAGGGAATAACATCACATATTCATGACTGAGTTGACAACGTTTCTGTTAGGTTTTCTTAGTTTTTTAGTAAATTAAGTCATACTTTCTTCAAACAGTTTTCTGATTATATTTAAATCTCTTTAATCGGCTTGTCTGATTTTCTACAATTTTTTTGGATTGGATTTTGCCTTGGGATTGTGATATTTTCATAGGACATCTTTAGAAACACAATTTAGATCGAGACTCTGCATTGGACATGTATCATTTGATTTTATGATTAGAAAATAACTTGGCTATCTTTTCTATGACTAAATTTGAGTGGGCCAATCAATGCCGATCCTTTCCTGCTTCCCAGGGATACACTGTGTCTTTGGCATTTAACAATGATATAGGATATGAACAAAAGAGGGCAGCAAACATGATATACAAATGTCCCTGTTTAAATCAAAAGTTGTTCCTGGCCATATGAAAGCAGACTGCCTTTCTATCGTATTTAGGTGGCTTTTGATAACATTTTCTATAACTAATTAACATCAAACAAACATCAAAATAAGGTCAAATTACTATCAAATGGAAGGTTTGTGATTTTTTTTCCTTTTCTGTTGTGTTGATTCGTTTTGTCATACATGTAGAATGGATTTTATTTAAATTTGCAGAGTTATAACTCTCTCTCTCTCTCTCTCTCTCTCTCCTCTCTCTCTCTCTCTCTCTCTCTCTCTCTGGCTCTCTCTCTTCCCTCTCTCATTGACCCATGTAGAAAGCCAGGTAAAGTTTAATTTCCTTCAGGTAATTGATACACATGCATGTTTAAAAAAAAGTTGTGTGTGTGTGGGGGGGGGGGGGGGGGGGGTAATAATCAATTTTTAGTGATGTATATGTCATGTAGATAGTTACTAGGAATTACATTGATTTGATAATTAGGGCTTAATCCTAAAAAATCTCACCCCTGTGAAAAAAGATAGTATGGAGCCCTTAATGATGGATACAATATGTTCATTAAGCCCCATTTACACAGCCCAAACACAATTTTAAAAGTTTGTACATTTTTGGGACTGCCATTTACACTACTTGAAAATTCCATTAAACAACTTTGGTGTTTGCTCATTCTCATTTTTTGGCGAATAAAGCGCATGCACGACTTGTCACTACTCTGTGTGCAATCGTACAGAAGCAATGAGAGTCACTTGATGAGAAACCAGAATTTTACCAAAGTTTTGATTTAAACTGCAAAAATCTGTGAAATATCAGCAGGCGTTTAAAAAAAATACACTCCAGAGGTGAATTTTTTGCTTTTTGTGTGTGTGTGTGTGTGTTTGCTGGTTTACCAAAGAAACACCAAAATTTGAGAAAAAAATAAATGATTTTTGCTTGTAGTGTAAATGCAGCTATTAAGGCCAATGAACGGTGATCCACCCATCATTATAAATCTGCCATCGATAAAGAACAGTTACATGTAGTTTACATTTGCAATGTCATTGTCATTTCAGTGAAGGCACCGCCCTTTCATTGTCGATCACCTTGACTGCATGACCATCATTCTCTCAAATTGGTAAACAGGCAATGGAAGTATTTACAAATGTACACCTGCAATAATAAGCCAGATTGGAGGAAGACCCAGTGAAAGGTCTTTCCATTCAGATAGAGGAAGTGCAGTATTGTCGTTCACACGACTCCACCTATCCTAATTGTTCTGTTGATCTATCAGGGAGTGGTTCCACTACCATGCTATTATAAACAAAAATACTATGATTCTGTCGTTTTTAACGAACCAGGAGCCGTGACAAAAAATGCAATTTTTTTAGTACATATCTGCTTACAGGAGCCTGGTGCAAAATTATGTACATTTATCAATGATTTAAATAAGTTCCTCAAAAAAGTTGTTTGAAGTTCATACAGGGCATTGTGGAATAATACAATAGTTTTCAGCAGATATATATGTAATTGTAATTGTAGGGCTTTGTAAATTGTAGGAATATACTATATTTGACAGTCTTAAAATCTTGTGGTGTTCTTTGAGAATTTTCAGAACATTATTGCTTATAATTCCATTGTCTGCACGTTTTTTATTGTAAGATATTTTTTCATTCACCCATTACTTTTTTTCTTACATTTCATTTCCTGGCTTTAAAACAAAATACTACATATACATGTACATATCTGCATCAATTTACATGTACATCATACTATTAAGATCATATGTGCTGAATAACATTTTTGTTTTGAACATGAACAGGATTTGAAGTAGTTAAGCACAGGCTAGAATCTTTGAAAATGCATGGGAGAAACGTGATGTTCTCGTGATGGATCGATCCATCACAAAAACAAAGCTGAGCACTGGTTTTATGCATGGTTCTAGGCAATCCAGTATTGATCATGTAGCAAAGAAAAACATTGCGTTTCCTTAAAATAGTGCATCCACTTCAAATTGCCGGCTGCCCGCAAGAACACTAGATGTCTTCATCAGCTCCAGATTGCCAAATAGCCCGCTATTTCTGATTTGGGAAATAAGCTTAAAGTTAAAGAATTGCGTCTTTTGCTCAACGTTCGCGAGTCTTCGGGCTGGTGAAGACGCACCGGACAAATAACGGGATATTTCGCAAACTAGCCCAAGATATCTTGGGATGATTATCTCAACCAAATATCCTGCTAATTGCAACTGCGGGCTGATGAAGACTCAAAATAGCTGGATATTGTGCGATTGGAATATTTAAAATAGCGGGTTATTTGGCAATCTCTAGCTGATGAAAACAGGCCTAAAGTAAGAGCTATGTTTTAATTGTCAATGGCAGTAACGGCTTCCTTGGGAACAGCCAATGATAAACAGTCTTTCCTCTAAATGAATGCAAGATCATGGACCCTGACATGGCTATAGGGCATGCTTTGGTTTAGGAGTAAGAGAATAAATAATGAAATGCCATGTACATAGATCTGTACATACATGTAGGTCATTATGAGATGGGGTGCTGATGAAACAGGTAAGGAGCCATTAGGGAGGGGGTGATAAGGCAGTTACTATCGGGGAAAGAATTACTCTATAGCTACATGTTTACAGGAGCTCATTAGCAAGACCTGGAATGTTATTCCCTTTGGGAAATTAAGTTCTCTCTTTTGTTCATGTGTTTGTTTTTGTTTTTGATGGAACTATACATTGTATGTTAATACTTCTAGAGTCAAATTGTTTGCTACTGCTTCTGTGGATTTGTTTTTTTCTGTCAACTTTAGAAAGCATACATTTTGTAGGAATACAAGTGAATTTTGAAAGATCAAGAATGCATACCGTATATGTCTATGGCGAATATGAAAATAAAAAGTAGCAAATATAGTTTCTTTATTTTCTTCCAATGTAACCAGAAATTTTATAATGAAGATATATATGTACATGTAGATTTAATTTAGGAAGTTGTAAAGATTATTAATTCAGAATAATGATTAAAAATATTGTGGAACATTCTTGCATACACTCTTTTGGAACCATGTTTGGGTTTTGGTCTGTTTGAAGATCGTCTAATCACAATGTTTAATATGCTTTTAAAGAATTTTATTAAACACCAAAAACAAAATATCAGTTATATATCCATGAACTGGCTTAAGAATAAACTGCAAAATACACTACACTGAACATTACCTCTATCATTATCTAGACTTGCTTGTTTTTTCAGTTTTAAAACACATTAGAAAATGATTGTCTCCAAGGAAATTACCGAAGAAAAGGGATAGGATTAGAGTGTCTGCTTGCCACACTGATTAGACACTTGAAAGAAGTTTAATCTGGTTAGTTATCTGCAATGTAATTTGTATTGAAGGGAAGAGGTCAGTACTTGGGCACATCTCTGGAATTGATGGGATGGGTGAAACAAGTAATGAAAGCTTTACCACTTTAAAGTATTATCACCCTGGTCGTTTTTACTTGTGACAAATATATTTGTTTTGCTTTTTGTTCTATATTTTAAAGTTATTCATAGAAAACTATTCTATCATTCTTCTAGTTTCCTGTAGAAAAATAGAAATAAAACACATGTTTAGGCTAAGGATTTAGAACAAAAGATATATGAAAATATATTCTGTTGAATTTAGTATAACATTTTAAAAAATACAAATTTGTGCTGTTTTTTCTAAATCTTCTAATTCTTTTTTTCTTCTTCTTTTGTTGTTGTTTTGTTTTGCATTTAACATAACTATTCATATTTACTGGAAAGAAGACTATGTTTACATTTTGACTAGAGCATTTAAAGCTTTTCATTGCTGCAGTAATTTTAGTTTATAACTTCACATACAGTGAAACCTGTCTTTAATAGTGGCCACCTCTTTATAAATGTTACCCGTTTGTAGTGGCTATGCATTTGTTTTCTCCCTGGAAAGAGAAATGTGCATTGTAGAACCTGTCTAGAAAGGCCACCTGTCTACAGTGGCCACCTTCTCTGTTCCCCTCATTGGGTTGCCTTAATGGACTTGTTTGACTGCATAATTTGCACGATGTTTGAACATGTTTCCAGTAAATATAAATATTTAAATGTCAAAAGGCAAATTGCAAGTTATACACCATGAGGCAAGTAAATGTTTTGATGTGGTGAAAAAACTTTAATAGATTCATACTGTGCATACATGATAGAGCTCTCTATCTCAGAGGTGAGAATAAAGGTTGAAATACTACCGCACACCGGGATCTTATAATAACATCTCGCACTGTCATGTCACTTCATGACCTATAGTGCTGTACATCCATAGTTAATAACATAAAGTACAACGACATAACAAGCTTATCACAATACATCACAAGGAGAAGTACATTAGATTGGTTGGATAAAGAGACACGACTCAAGACAGTGGAGATTAGCAGTGGCTGGATAGGGGTGACAACCACATACATTTTTCTTTTTTTTCTTTTTTTCTTTTTTGTGCCACACTCTTGGTAGTATTCATAAATAAAAATATGCGGGGAAAGGATGCTAAGTAGCCCCCTCCCATCCACCTGGGGATGGCCCCACCCTTCTAGCAGACCAAAGAATACATACAGTATGTGGAATGTATGTGATGTTAATTACATGAGCAACATTAATATCATCATGCTTGATGATTTCTCCATATGTTTATGTCTTAGCGTGTTTCATATTTAGGAAGTCAGTACCGGTTGATCAATCGATCAGTCTTTCACCATTCCTATTACAACACAATAAGTAGATTGGGGGGGGGGGGGGGGGGGGGGGGGTGGGGTGGGGATGTCATACAAAGTTTTCAACAATTTGGGTAACCCCCCCCCCCCTCCCCTCCCCTCCCCCTGCTCTTCTCACCCTCCCTACCAATTTTTAGTAATATTTCTCTAATTTTCGTTTATATAAATATAGCTGCATGTATGTATGTACATGTAGGCCCCTACACATGTATAAGCTTGTAAGAGTAATTAGTGACAGGATGGGTAATTGGTTATATCATTATGTTTATGGTTGTTTTCTTGCTTTGGTCTCAGGTCTTGTACATTAGTTCAAGTAATTGTTTATGTTTCCTCCCTTTTTTCATTTGAATTTGAATTATAAATGTTACATCAAATGTAATGCTAGAGTAATAAGTTGTGCTGTCCATGGCACTTCCTACATGAAAATCAATTTATACCTTTGGACACTTTTTGCACAGAAAATTTGTACACAATTATACAGCCTTTTTGTGACAATGCTCCACTGAGCAAAATGGCATGACTTTGATATGTTTTGGATAATACTTTGAGCTTATAAATGCTGCAGATAGTATAGTTTGTGAACTTATATTGAGTTTATTACTCTGTGGCTCCTAATGGAGGATAACGAAAACTATGACTTTTGTATAGCATGCACTGCCAAACTCACTTCCATGTTTATATCAGTCGTTGTGTGAATGCAACCAACAATGTCATGTACCCTGCAAAGAAGTTGAAGGTAGAAAAGGGAGATGACCCTATTTGACCTTTGATGAATATCATGCTTACAATGAGTGACAATTCAACCAGCTTGTCCTATTTAACTCCATTCTCGATAAGAGATAAACAACGCCCCATCTGAGCAATATTTTCTCTGCTGTCGGTGAAAACGTCCCACTATAAGTGAGCTCTTATCTCTTGTTATGAAGGAGGTTTGGTGAATGTTCAGGATGTTGTGCTCTGGTGTGAATACACCCCCTGGTAATTTTCCTCCCGACCCTGGTTGCTGGCATGCTGAAACAAAACGCTGTCTCCCAGAGCATGTCTTGTTTATAAACCTGGACTGTCCCAGTGCAGTGCAGTCATCAGATACTCGTCCAAACCCAACGTAGTCCTGCTGCAAACATTTGGATAAGAATTTCTAACCATAAACTAAAGTGGCAGGAATAGATTGTTTTGCTGTCAATTTGCAACATCTGATTTACCTGTTTGAAGATACAAAAGGCTGAATTCATTTTTTTGTGAGAGATATTTGTTCAGATTCATTCGGAGGTAAGTTAGTTTCTTTTATCTCTTTAACTTGTGTAAACAACTCTACTTAATTATGCATCCATTAATTAAGTAGGTTGGGGACTGCTGTATGAAGAGAGAAAATTTATGAAAGGATCGTTCATTCATACGTGGTTCTCGGACAACTTAATTGCATCTACTCTCTGCATTGGTTTTTAGGCTGAATTCATCTTTTTTGTGAGAGATATTTGTTCAGATTCTTTCGGGGGTAAGTTAGTTTCTTTTATCTCTTTAACTTGTGTAAACAACTCTACTTAATTATGCATCCATGGATTAAGTAGGTTGGGGACTGTTGTACTGTATGACAAGAGAAAATTTATGAGAGGATCGTTCATTTCATACGTCGTTCTCAGACAACTTAATTGCATCTACTCTCTGCATTGGTTTTTAGGCTGAATTCATCTTTTTGTTAGAGATATTTGTTCAGATTCATTCGGGGGTAAGAAGTTTCTTTTATCTCTTTAACTTGTGTAAACAACTCTACTTAATTATGCATCCATGAATTAAGTAGGTTGGGGACTGTTGTACTGTGTGACAAGAGAAAATTTATGAGAGGATTGTTCATTTCATACGTCGTTCTTGGATAACTTGCATCCACTCTCTGTATCGGTTTCTAGGCTATATACCTGACAATCCCAAATAATGTGCGATGGTCTGCTGAGGCTTTAGTCTGGTCATGTGCGAGGGCAGGATTGAATGCATATCATTTTCCATTTGACTGAATGTGGTGTAGACTCTGGTGCTCTCATGGTTTTCCTCAAAGTCACACCAAAGAGACACACCCTCGACCGACGACAAACCGAACAAACTCTGTTTATGAAATCTCTGTACATAATTTGTGCACCCATAAATCGCAGAGCTTGGAGATCACTATATATGGTGACTGGAAATATATGAGATGAGATTCATGTACTCATCCATGTATGTATATTCATGTTGTGCACAGAATAACAGGCCATGTTGCTGTTTTCTATGGTGTACCCAGGCCTTCGCCCTGTGATATCCTAATATTTGTTTGGTGGTTTTGGTTTGAGTCATGCTTTAAGGACAGAGATTGCATCATTCTCCAAGCATGTGAATGAATGGGGTAGATAGAGGCATCCCTCTCCATTGGTTAGCCATTCAGCAGTCATTGTCGCTGAAAACAATCTTGTGAACGTGTGTCTAGTTGGCCTGCAGCACATTTAAAAATCAGACATTGAAGTTTGGTTCATATAAATGTAGGTAAGAACTTTGTTTCTTTAAATTTTAAATTGTGTCAAATGTGAAACATCTCTCTCCATAATTTATGCATCTAGTGCATGTGGTGAGTAGAAATTTATGAGATATCTGCTGATAGGTTGTGCACAGGATAGTGTGCATCTGCCGTCTGCATGCATGCAGTGATTTCCTGTATACTGGTAGGCTATATATACAGCCTACAATCAGCAATATTGTTTGTAATTTTTTTGTCATGCTCTGGTTGCATCATTTTGTTTATTTGAATTTATGGAGAGAGACTTTTGTTGTCCATTCCCTCTTGCTAGCCATTTGATTTGATAGTCATTGTCACCACAGAAAGAGAGAGAGAGAGAGAGGGAGAAGTCAAAGGGATAAAGAGAGAGAGAGAGAGATGAGTAAAAGAGAGAGAGAGAGAGAGAGAGAGAGAGAGAGAGAGAGAGAAAGAGAGTCTAGAGAGAAGAGAGAAAGAGAAGAGAGAAGGAGAAGAGATATTTATAATTTGACAAAATGTAAATGTATCTTTCTACTGTAGTCTTCCTTATATTATATAATGGCTTGTTACAATATGATTGATTGATTTCAGAATTCCTTTAAACAGGGTCTATCCACCTGTCTATGCCCCCCTCAAACATGTTTTAATATATTTATTATACTAAAACTACAATAGTATCTTTTTTTATTCAACCTGTGTATACATGTATCTGCTTTAAACTTCAGTGTTCCATAGACAAATGCAAAAGGCAAGAAATAGTTGGGTTTTTATTGACAGTTTTGTCTCTTTCTGTCTTTCTTTCCACCACCCCCCCCCCCCCACCCCCTCTTCTCTTCCTCTGTATCGCTCTAAACTTTTACACCTGTATATACAGCATATTTTCTCTAGAGGTATATTATGTCTTTCTATTCAACCTTTGATTGTCTGATATTTTGTATCCAATAGCAAGAATGAATGCATGTTAGAGAGCCGATAGGCCCGAATGGGCTGTGGTATTTGCACATGATTCCACAAACTCTAAACCCTGGTCTCTCATTTTCTGCATGTCTACTCCAGGTCCTGTCTAGTTCCAATCTGAGAGCGGGGCAAGACAAGACAATTTGCCTGACCTAGGTTGCCCCCATCCCATTAGCCAGCTGACCATCCATCATGGAGTTACATATCCTGGAACACCGGCTGAGGGTTGCAACGGTCAAGCGGTCAGACCTCCTTCCTTTCATCGGCTCCCTCATCAAACTTGCTCTCCTCCATGAAACCAGGTAAGCAAGATGAAATATCTTTCTAGCTCCTATCCAATTTGCTCACTAGTAAAAAAAAAAAAAAAAAAAAAAAAAAAAAAATTCCCTCAAAGAAAACATTCAATCATACAGACAAAATAATTTAGTGTTTTTTTACAGCATGTAGCACCAACATCTAGTTCAGAAAATAACACATTGCTAGTTTTTAGAATTAAAGGCCTGTGGCTAATAAGTAAGTCAAATCAGATTCTTTAAAAGCTGCATCTTCCTTGTATGAAATAGATTTGAGGTCAAATCTATCAAGTTCTTCACAAAATGTGCATGATCCTCTTTATATTTGTTTTCCCCCTTTCCACAATCTAATCTGTTTGTTGATAAACAGTCTTGATGTCAACATCCATATATCAAAGTTGTTATATCAATACTTTTTTATTTCAGCAGTGATTTTGTCCATCTTTCCCTAGCTCTTGTTATCTTCTTTCTTAGTCCTGACCTTGTAATGGCATGTCACTGAAGGTCACAGGGGTCAAGTATATCTAGGTCAGTGAGATCTGCTTGTGATTTCAGCATAGACTCTCTATTTTCCAGCCTCTAGATCTTCTGCTTGTAAATCATAGTTTAGAACATGTGTCAGATATTTTTGGACTCTCAGTCCTTTAGTCCCTAGCTCTTGTTTCCAGCCTGCTTAGGCCTAACCCTGTAATGGGATGTCACTTAAGGTCACATAGGTCAAGTACATCCAAGTACATCCATGTAGGTCAGGCCTGCCTTTGATTTCAGGATTCCTATATATTTTTCAGTCTCTAATGCTTATTATCATGGTATAAAATATTGCTATATGTATGTCAGGACTTGTAATTATCCTTTAGTCTCTAGCTCTTGTTTCCTGCTGTATTAAGTCTATAACCCTGTAAAAGGATGTCAATTAAGGGTAAAAGGTTGAAATAAATCGGACCAACAATAAGAAAATTATGAATTTTTTAAATATGAGATCACACAAAGTCTATGCGAATCTCAAATTGGAAGTGTGGTCAGTGGATTGTGACCATGGGTGTCGATCCGTAACTGATACCTATTCATCAGGGGGGGATGATCTATTCATTCATCCCCCCCTGATGAATAGGTATTACGTAAGGATCGACACCCATGATTGTGACGTAGTCGTAGATACATTTACTCTCCCATTTGGCGAGCAAAATATCATCATCGATTTCTGTTTTTCTCGCAAGTGCCTTCTCCCTTGGGGCACGAACTCAAAATAAATTATGGATAGCATATTATAATGGGACCGATCCTCTTAAGAAAAAAGACCCTCCTGCGTCATACATATTTTAAAAAGTGAAATGTTTAGTAATTGTGTGTGTTGGAACAAATGGCCAAATTGTCTGCCACTACATAGCAGAGACATTTTACATAGAATATAAGAAAAAAAGAACCAGAGTTTGGAGGAAAATGACAAATTAGGAGGATGGAAAAATATAAGCAGTTCATAAGATTGATAAAATACAACATCTACTATAAATGTACAGTTGTACAGTTGTAGGAATAACCAAAATCATCATACTGTAGATATCAAATGATATGTGCCTCTAATTCTATATGTTGCATTTTCTGTCCCTTTTATTAGCTTTGACTCTAAAAGTTCCTCATCAAACCTGTACATTTTTAAACAAGGTGTCGTATAGATTACTTTGATATGGCTTTTATCTCTCATTGCCTATGATGTAAATGGATTGCAGTTATGAACATCTTCACTTTAATATTTACAAAAGCTATATTCCAAATATTTGATATATAATGGTCTCTATCTCTATTTAAATGGATAAGTTTTAAACATCTTCACTTTAATCTTTTACTAAAGCTATATTCCAAATATTTGATATATATTGGTCTTTATCTCTATAATCTAAATGGATAACAGTTCTAAACATCTTCACTTTAATCTTTTACTAAAGTTATATTCCAAGTTGAATGTGCCCCGTAGATACATGTAGCGTCGGTGATAGCAGGACATTCAAAAGGTTAGGATAGGTGAATTAAGAACATATACATGTAGGTCGGGTCAATATCTCACGGCAGAAGATGGGACTCTGTTTGTCTGTATAGAATATAGCATGTTTCAACTTGCGGTTTTGCTGCCTATACAAAAACACTTCAAATGAACTTACTCTACTTTTAATCAATCGGTGCCTGGTACATGTATATCCAGTTATGTTGTGATTGCCCCCCCCCCCCCTTCCCCAAACAAACTATCACAAGAGCAATTTCGTTGTGTAATTCCATATTTGCAACCTTGCCTTCTTAAGTTGAGTTCACACAGCAGTTCATAAACTTAAAGTTAGGTTGTGATTTTACATTTCAAGGTTATCTTGTAGTTTAAGACCGTGTGGAGCTTGTGGTTATGAAACTTTAAGATCCCTAGCGATCTTATGGTTAGCGTGATAACTACAGTACTAGCCGCATGGAACGTACCTCAATTGAATTGTGTACCATATGGATGCAATTAACTTTAAAGTTACGCCAGCTTGAAGGTATAATATACTTTGAATACTTGATGTTTCGGTCCGATGTGGACCCTCATCATTGTTAGTGGATCTGTGCTTAAAACATCAATGTTTTGCAAACTTCAAGTTTTAACCCACATTGGCCCCATGTGAACATAGCTATAGATAACAATATCAAAACATATACATGTCACAATTTGAGTTTACTCCTATAAATCACTTAGTACAAGATAAACATATTAAGCCCAGACTGTGTCAATATGCCATTTAGCTATTAGCAAACTTCTTGATGAGTTAATGTGAGAGGTGGCTCCTTCACACTACTGCAGTATCTAATAATAATAAAATTCACGGTTGGAAATCATTTCATGATAATTCTTCAGAAAAAGTTTTTCAAATTTTACTGGGGGTTGGGGGCTGATTCCCCTCCCCCACCCTTCTGCATCAGTCACTGTGCATCTGTATGTGTGTATGTGTATGTGTATTTTTGCAGAAGGAAAGAAATTGTACCAACATTTACCATTTCCCATGCATGAAATATTGTTTGTGACTTGTATGAGTGGTGAAAAGTTTCATAGCTTGAAATGATTGACACAGATGCTGAATTTTGTGTTTCACAAAAAGTTTCACAGCATGAAAATCCCTGTCGCTCTAACAAATCGTGAAAGTTTCTGATCCTGAAGTAGTCTGTAGTTGTCTGTACAGAGAATACTTAATACACACATTAGTTTATACATGTACATGTGTAGTTTATATTTGATGATCATGATGGATAGCTTCATAAACAGCATTGTCAATGTTGTATGTAACTTCTGATGGTTCAAAAGTCTCTCTTGCGATTGTACAAAGTGGGAGAGTTATAAGTTCATAACAAAGGAACAATGGGCCATATTTTTACATTAATTGTGTTTACTCTTTATCTCCTAAACTGTCATTTACTGGGGGAGGTGTCAAATTTGGCACAAACAATTGTGAATTTTATTTATAATGTTGCAAAATCCATACATACCACATACATGTAGCACTAATAAGTAGATTCCAACTAGATACATTTTTGTTTCCAATCTGTTGTAAAAGAATATCATCTGGAACTAAAATTTAAACATACAATGTACGTTAAATGGTTGTATGTACATGTACATGTATAATGGGAAGTTTTGACATCAAGTATACTGACCCATTTACATAATATATGTTGTTATAAACCATAAATCTCACCTGGAACTAAAATGTTGACATGCATACTTAGAATAGTTGTATGTACTGGGGAAGTTTGGACATTAATTACGGACCCATTTATATTGTTCTATACCATAAATCTCTTATTCTATCTTACTACTTTTGTAGAAGCAGAGAATCTCAAAATAAATAAAAATAGATATGCAGTAAAAGAGCAGTGTGGCATTAGAGGAAGGATTGAAGTTGATTAATCCACAATTCAGCCATTTCATGTATGTTTACACCTTTAGTTCATGAATGACAACTATGAGACAAAGCTTATCTTTCTAAATTTCCAATTGATTCTCTAAACAAAGTTTTATTAAGGGTGTGGCCAAGAAATATGTAAAATAGTTTCCATCTTTTTCTCTATTTTATTCACAGCAAGAGCAAGTTTTTCAGCTTCACCCATACGAGTCGAGATTTCACCATTATTCTTGATGAAGAGGGATTTAAAGGTATGTAACATTCCTATAACTGCACCTGCCTTATCATCGTATATGGAAACGGCAAATTGCATTCGTCATCATAATCTTCATACAATTCTTAGTGCCCAGTAATTTTTTTTGTTTAATACATATACTTTTTTTTTTTAAATAATGTCACACCCATGCCTTGAGTAAAAATCCCCAAATCAATTTTAAAAATTTGAATACTATACAGTACATTTTTGTTATTAATCTTTGAAAATCAACTTTCATGCATGAAACATGGATAATAGGCCTGCTTCAATTTCAAGTCCAATTCAGTAATGAAAAGGAAATGTATATAAAACACATGTTGTAAATCTGCCTCTTGAAATTTTGACAACTTCAAATAATTCGGTGAGACACAAGAAATCAATTCATTATTGTTGGTTTTTGTTTTGGTTAGATCAGGAAGAAGAAAAAAAATGAATGATAAAGCTGGATTGAAATCCATGATCAATCAGTTAATGCTAAACTGGTGACTTTTAAAAGCTGAAAATATTCTTTAAGTGCAGTGGCAAATAAGGAGTTTCATGAACTTGTAATCCATGTTTCTCTATCTTTCACCTTTGCCAAATGAAGCTGAGAAGGTAGATAGTGATACAATCTAGTGTTAAATTGGTGACTTTTAAAAATCAAAATGTCAGAAGAATGGAGTCACCCAAGGCATCGTTTTATGAAACTTCATAAGTACAAGTTCCCCGACATCCCATTGAAACGCGTGTTAAACTTAATACACGCATCTCAACGGGATGTCAGAGAACTTGTTCTTTGAACGGTTTTGTGAAACGCTGCCCATGTTTCTCTACCTTGACAGCTTTGCCTGACCAGGCAGAGAAGATGGGCATGGTGATACAGTCCAGCGCATGGCTCGTCCTCGAAGCAACGGCCGGGAACGATGATGCAGGAATGACCACCGTCACCAGGAACATCATCGTGCCTCTTGCCGATAGAGGGCTCTCTATCTTCTGTCTATCAACGTGCCAAACTGATTATGTACTCGTAAGTTGAATGATTTATTTCATATATCCTCTTAGTTTCAGAGCCGGAAGGCCATTAAATTGATAAACTTAGGCCTGTTTATTTCCCTCTGCATTGATACCCCAAATTGTTGTGAGAATATGTTGAGTCAGATGAAATTCAATTATTCTGCAACATGGAACTTTCATGCATATGACGCACTTGCATAATTTGCCAAATTTTCATGCACGTTAAAGTTTCTAGCTCTATAGTAGTAACAAATTTCATTTCAATATTTGTTTTTTTGCTACAGGAATGTATCACAACCTCTAACCAAACTGTCAGTACATTTACGATCATTTCTATACTTTAATTCCCATATCCATGTAGGTACGAGAAGAGGACCTGCCAAGTGTGACCCAGTGTTTAGCCCCTCAGTTCTGTGTCTTCCGTGAGATCGAGGGTAACTCCGAGCCTGTCACCATAGACCGGTCCCAGAATGGAGTCCATGAAGCAGGTACTTATGTTCAGAGTTGTCAGGGACATAATGACTTGCAGTAATTTCATTTCAGTTTATTAGTTTTATTTTGAGTCGGTAAATAGTCGTTCGTGAGGTAGGCAACTTGGCAAACACTGAGCCTAGGGTATTACGCTCTTGTACGGACGTACGCATAAAGGGACACTAGTACGCACGGTAGGGTAATACCTGTTGGCTCAGTGTGCTGCCCTCTTTATACCCATGCTTGAGCAACTTTAAAGTACAGTCAGGTTTCCAACAAGATTTTTTGTTTCTTTCTATATTAGAACCCACCTACATTTATATTGCATAATAAAACATTGCAGAATTGATTTACCTTTATCTCTTTACCTTAATTTACCCAAGATTTTATTAAAAAACTCAAGATGAGCTTCAAAGCTTCCATAAGGAAAATCGCTTGTTTTGCCACCTTCAAAAGATTCCTCAAAACTTACCTTTTCCCCTAGTGATCTATGTGATCTACTTCCTGTGAGACTGTACCTTTTTTGTCCTCTTTTCATATATCTGTATTTGTATATCTTATTGTTTTTAGCCCTCCTAAATATTCTATATTATTATCAATGACACAAAGTTTGAATTATTTTCTTCTTTTTATTGTTCTTTGTTCTTTTTTTTTTGACTGACAGAGGCCAAGAGAGCAATCATGTACCCTCTCCACTTTCCAACCAATAACTTCCTAGTCACAAGTCTACAGCCAGACATGATACCAAAGATCACCAGCAGCTTATTACAGGTCCTTTTCTATCCAGAAACCTGGTAAGTTGATGCGTTGCCGTTTGTTATGGGGCACTACCAGCCCCTTCCCCCTACCCTCCATTTTGGAGAGTGAATAGGGAATAGGTGTTTGTAATTTCTATTCTCTAATAATGAGCCTATCACGCTGTATGTACAAGTAATATATGAAAAATGAGATTGAAAAATATTAAAATATTTTAATTTCACAAATTATATTAATGACTTTCTTTCATGATTCAGTTTCATGATACTCTCCCTTTCTTTTTCTATTCATCTTTTTTCTTTTTTCTCTATCTCTCCCTATTTTCTCCCTCACTTGCTCTCACTGTCTCTCATGCACCCCATCCCTTTCTCTCTCTCTCTCTCCCCTCTCTCTCTCTCTCTCTCTCTCTCTCTCTCTCTATCTCTATCTATCTATCTCTATCTATCTATCTCTATATCTATCTCTCTATCCCTCTCTCTACCCCACACACACAACATTTTTCTCCTGTATTTACAACTTGTTTGATATGATTTTTCCAGTGATCCTATAGAGACGGAGACGTCAAGTCAGAAGGAGCAGTTTGTTTCTTATTCTCTCATAGATGATAGGATATCACTGGTACTAGATGTAGATTTATTAGATAGGTGAGTATAGCATTTATGAAAATTCCATATCATTTTTTTACAGTCAGTGTCTTTCTGCAAAAAACTTTGAAAATACCGATTAGAGAACCCGAAAGTACACCTTATCAATTTGTTCTTACAGAAGCGTAGTAAACAGACTATAATCAAGGTTTTTCCTTTTCTTAAACGTGATTTTAGACCCAGGGTCAATTTTTTTTCTTCTTTTTTCTTCATGAATTTGTAGAATACAGACCGTGGAGAATACAGTGCCAATTATTTACTTATCATTCATTCGTGTCTTCTAAGATCAAGATGAATGTATCTTGATCTTCAGATTAGTTGCTACAACCGGCCGAGTCAGACACATTGCCTCGGGGTGCGAGATAGGACTCTTGTAGCGTGCCCCCACTTAACACAATTATACAATAACAATTAACATTACATTTAATTTAAAGAATAAAGCGTTCATTTTACTCTCATGTTACGGGGAAAAAATATTATGAATTAATTAATTTGGTCGATCCAGGTTGATGGCACAAACACGACACTACTGGACAGAGATCCTAATAATTACAGAACTTGGTGTTGTTGCTCTGTTCTTATTAAACCATTGTGTGGTAGTTACCAAAAGCAGAACATCTGAACCTAATGTAAGCAGAGAGAAGAGAGGAAATGAGAGGATGGAAACGGAAATCAACAAGGCTACAGTATTATCACTCAATGCCCTTGGCCATTGTTTGGATGACTTTCCAAGAAGAAGCCATTGTGTTTACATAAATATGCTGAATCATACATACTCCTACATACTCCTACATACTCCTACATCAATTATATATCCACTGTAGAGAGGGAGAAAAGGAAGATGATGCAAGCCATGAACAACATGTTTTGACAAAAAATTAACCAAACATTTTTTTGTAATTGAATGATAGTTCCTGGCATGTCATTGTAGCCGGCTTCATCTTTGTTAAATTAGCCCTTTTTCCAATTCTCTTGTCGTTACTTTTGTACTAGGTTTCCAGATAACTGTATATGTGTTGACTCTGCCAAAGAGAGATGGAGGATGGTTAACACTGGGGTCCAAAATACAGGATTCGGTAAGTGTTCCTTCAATATAATTCATTCATAGCGTACATGCTCTACTCCTTGGGGAGTATTCCATGACACTACCTGTATACATGTATGTCATCCCTTGCCCCCCCCCCCCTTCAGACATGGAAAAATATACAAAATTTGTATCGTATCTCTATAGCGATTCAACACTTGACTTAATTTGTATTGTTTGACAGTTGTGCAGCGTAGAAATTTAACAAAATATAAACATACTGTAGATATGGGCATCTTTTTTATAAAATCCCTCCAGAATTCAGATTATTTTTGTGTGTGTGAATGTTGAATATTATAAAAATAATCCTACAACTGCACACTTCTGATGCAAAAGACCCTCTTTTTCCCAGCATTTCTTTCCATGTTTCCCCATATATACAATTTTCACCCCATCTGTACTCTCCTTTCACTGTGTAATCGTCATACATCTACATAAATGTATGTTTCCTTTAAAAATAAATCTCTAGTATGAAAGGGGTCTTAGAATTGTGATAGCGTCAAGGTTTTGTGTCATAATCATATTAACCTCCAATCTTCAATGATCGGAAACCTTGACCTGAAACCCATAAAGGATATTGTGGAAAAATTAATATTTAAGATGATCACACTCTGGATTCAAAGGAATTGATTTTGTCTGGGTTTTGTTGAGGAAGCAATCAACTAATACAATGAACTGGAGGATAAATAAGATGGGTGAACTCTGCATGAGGGCAATGTCTTTTTAAATATTGATAGGGATACTCTGTTTTTGTATAGAACATATCGCTTGTTTTATGTCTATGAACTTGCAAAGAGTTTTGGATTATTACCCCAGCTCTCACCTAGCTGCCATGATGACGACGCTGATACTTCAAAGGAATTCCTTGTAAGTCTCACCGCAGCTAAGTACACAGTAATGTACTTTACCTAGGTCGTGTGTGGCCATTTGTCCTTTACCGTTTCTCTACTTTTTTATTTTGTTTAGAGGAGTGTGGAATAGTAGCCCAGATAGCCGAACCTCTTGCCAGTGAGAACATCCCCATCTTCTATCTCAGTACCTTTCTCACAGACCATACTCTGGTAAGTTTCAATTTGAGGAGCGTTTTAGTGATCAGAAACAACCAAATACTTATACTTCCAACAAATCAGTATATATATATATATATATATGTAAAGTGGTGGATTATCCTGAATACTCGCTGGACACATTAATGAAGATTCCGATTGCAATTGAAGAATCGGTAAAACACATTTCTATTAACTTAAGCTGCAAATTTGTGGAGAATGAAAATTAAATTGTTGGAAAGATTTTGAAAGTAGATAGACCAGAAATGATGCTAGCTACAGGTATGAGATAATTCGACCTAGAGATCCACCAAAAGTGTGTGTTGGGGGTCGATAGGAACTTCCAAGAGAAAAAGGAAAGGATGGGCCATTGCCCCCTTAATACCCCCCCCCCCCCTCTCTTCCTACCCCATTTCTAATCTTTTCATTGGATATATTCTGCTTTCCATGTTTATTTCTTAAATTGTTGAATATTTTACGATGTGGATTTTGCTTCTCTGCAGGTTCCAGAGACGGAGTGGAACAGGACGCTGACAGTATTATCCCATCGAGAGGAATGCCAGGACCAAGATGATGGGGTCATCGTAGAACCAAACATCTCAACATCGGTGTCGTAGGAGACCTGACAGACAATAGATATTACTAATAACAGAAAGATTCATATATATTCTTGATAAACTTGTGCGTTTGTGTGTGTGTGTGTGTGTGTGTACTATACTATAATCCATGCCATTTGAACTTTGTGTATTTGAACAGAAAATAGAAGTTATTTTGGATAAAAGGTAATTTTGTAGTGGGATTCAAAACCTTTTAGAATGAGGGGAGGGATAGTTTGCAGGCACATATTGTATTTTATACAATATTTTGGTAGCTAACACATGTTAGATGTTAACTTTTCGATTATTGATGAAATCGTGTTTTTGTGCCATATTGGATCTCTGAAATCGCTGCATGTTATTAAAAAATTGATATATTACAAAATATAAAGCCACACGATAGTGCTGCAAGTGAGATTATTTGCTAATGTTATTTCAAATTTATTCTCCCTTTCATTGTGGATGACCAAATGATGATTTTAGTAGGAGCTGCAAGAATTTGTATTTAAAAGAAATCAGAAGAAATATGATTATTATCATCATTATGTTGCTCTTATATTGTGATTATTGTCATCATTATCAATATCATTGCCATTAGTATTATTGTTAAGAACATTTTATTAGTATCGATTTGAGAAGAAATATTAGATTTTGTCGTACTGATATGTTTTGTATCAACGTGGTTAGAATTTGATTGCGTATATCAAACTTCATTCATTCCAACCACCATCCTCCAAATCAACTCAATCCTTTGAGGGGTTTTCTTTTTTGTTTTTCTTTCATGTTCCTTTTTTTTTCTTTTTTTCCGCATGCTCTTTCAGTAATATCCATGTTGAATTCATCATTATTTTTTTATGTGGTGTTGTGGTCAAGAGACCAGGGGATGTTTCACATAGATCCTAAGTTGAACTTATCTCTAAGTTAAGGAAAGCCGTTAGCATATTTTGAAAATATTTTGTAAAAGTTATTTTAAAACGCATTAAATGTTGATTCAAATCTTTCATATTTTCTATTATCAAGGATATTTCATGTTCTTAATTTTGAATTTATGAAAAGTCTCAAATTGAATTTTTGCTTTTGAATATATTTTATTTAAAGGCTACGAATGGCTCTTCATAATGTTTAAGTCCAACTTAGAGTTAAAATCGACTAAGGATCTTTGTGAAACACCCCCCAGAAGTATTATCGTCAAGTGGACAAATTGATGGACTGTCAACCAAATGGTTTACTGTTTGAGTCCCATGCAGCCTGGCAGTGATATCCTTTGGCAAGACATGAATCTTTATTTGCCACTTGAAACCCAGATGAGGTAACTTTGTACAGTACTTGGTCCGCAGAAATATTGGAAGACGCATACCGGTAGGCGACTTATGAATTTAGAATAAAGAGTTCTAACTTTGTTTCTTGTCATATTTGTTATAATTGGGGCATTTCAAGAGTAACACTTTTTATGTGATATTACTTATAAAATATTCTTTCATATATCAAAATAATATTTTTTAAAAGCTTACAAATTATTAAAGCGATAACTTTGTTTCTTGTCATATTTTGAAAATTAGGGCATTTCAAGAGTAACTCTTTTCATGTGCATTGCCTTTTAAATATTCTTCCATATTAGAATGAGAACCAAAAATGGGAAAGCTTTACAATTATTTGTAACTTGGACCCAATTTTCTCTTTAATCATCCAACTCTTTACTCTCCCTGTCTTCTTCATTTATCTCTTTGTATCCTCTCCAAGTAATTTTTCATTTTTCCCAAAATTTGTCACTGTTAGTATTCATAAATTGTATGTTGTATCTATTTTTATACTATTTTTGTACCATATTAAGGGCTGGTTACCACATATACCACATACTTGCATACATGTATCAATCATTATTTGTGCTATTCAACTTTTACAATAAAGACATGTTCAGATATATGGTGAGGAAAACTGCTGTTAAAAAAAAGAAGATTTTTTTTAACGTGTTAATAAATGGCATCTACCCGCAAAAAAATCATTGCACTTATTCACTGAGCTCTGTGTTATAAGCTGCAGGGAATGATGCATATTACACTTTACATCATCATTAAAAAACGCTGCAGTTTTTCCACGTCATATCTGAACGAGCCTTAAGGAAACCCTTTAACGTTACCTTCCAAGAGCATGATTGTGATCGATCATTTGAGTCCATCTGTAGATTCTGACATGACCGGGAGAGGGCGCCCCAACGCCAACTGCGTAGCATATCAGGAGAGACAGTTGTGACACGCGTACACGTACGTGATCAAAGGTCATTTTATGGCGCTCCAAATAGTTCTCTTCTAAATGCAATCTCTATGGGAGGGATATATTTGGAGCTCCATGAAATGAGCTTTGATCGCATGCCCATGTCACAACTATCTCTCTCAATGTGCTATGACTAATCCTGATCTTTAACCAAGGATGCTAGAGCATAAGAACCTGAGTTTTAGTTTAGTTTCTTTTATTTCACATGACAAAACAGCCTATTTACAAAATTGATATTCGTGACCAATAAAGATATCTACACAGCATAAGTTTGTATTGCATTTACACTAAATAATTTCATAATTACATGTGAAAAAAGGAACTTAATGAAAAGCATATAACTTGTAGAATTGAAGTTCCTCAAAATAACTTTGAAACAGCGTCATCTATAATAAGGTAGAAGTTTAATAATTAAAAAGCAAAGTATACAGACAAAAACAATGAAATGATATGGATGATGGATGCAAGGAACCTAGGAACAGAGTTGCACACTCTCCTGTTTACATCATTTTATTTAGAGGATGATGGTTATTCAATTGGAAAATTATAGAGTTGAACAAGTTGGTCTCTCTGTAATGGCTCAGCTATGTGTTGTTGTTTTTTCTGCCAATGGTGAGGGGACTGTTTAGGATGGTGCTATATTGTTTAAATCTAAGACAATATCTTACTTCAAACATCACTTTACAAATTTTTTGTAGGTTTTTATTTTAAATTGAAAATAATTGTCAGTGTAATGAAGTGGAACAAGCATTATTTTGGAGCGAGACAAATCTGTTTGCCAAATGCCTTTTCCCCTTCTAATATACAAAGAGATACAATGATTTTTTGTTATGTTTTAGATAACGATTGGTTTGCAGTGCCTATTGCCATATGTAAAAAAGGTGCTACTTTTCTTTTATTTTTTACATCTAATTTACAGCTTATGTACTGTACATGCCTATTATTTCATATATAAGTCTATAGGTGTATTGGAGGGTTTTTAGTTCTAAGGTATGTGCTAATCTAATGAATTCTATATTTTTTGTTTGTATCAGACACTGGGGCATCCATTTTTCTGTCAATTGTACTTGTAGGCATTGATGTCTTCTTTTCCCCTCTGATAAAGAATCCTTCTTGAAGTATATATGTTTATTTCTTTAAAGATCTGTAACTGATCTCTGTCTCTCTCTATGTCTCTATCTGTCTCTCTCTCTCTCTCTCTCTCTCTCACCTTCCCTCCCCTTTCTCTCTCTTTCTTTCTCTCTATCTTCTTTTCCTATCTCTCTCTCTCTGACCACTTTCTCCCTCTCTTTCAATCCCCTTTCCTCTCACTTGATTATGAACATCTTGGTATTTATGCTAATATCGTTCGATAGAATCAAAATTGATCTCTCTCTCTCTCTCTCTCTCTCTCTCTCTCTCTCTCTCTCTATCAATCCTCTTTCCTCTCCGTTAGTCATGAACACATTGGTAGCAAATATCGGTTGATAAAATCATAATTCATCACTGAAGTATTGTAATGATTTGGCATGATCGAGATACTGGAGAATGATGTTTTGTTTGTGTATATTTGGTTATGAAATATAAAATTGTATCTATTTTGATTATTTCTATTGCATATCTATATATTGCATAGCTTATAATTTGCTGCTACTTCATGTATGTGCATGCAGTCTTTATAAATACCAGCTATTAAATTAAATGGGGAACAATCTTTTGGTTGGACCTTTGAATGATAACCACGATACCAGAAAAACATAAATCAATATTCATATCAAGAAAGATTTCTATATATGAGATCATTTTGATCAAGAATGGTTACAGTGGACCCACTGCCCAAAATTGCTCTTTACACATTGCACTCACAGGTTACACGTTTTCATTATGCCAAGTGGTTTTGTTTCTTTTCAATGTACTCTAAATATGGATTTATAATGATTGTTTTCATTCAGGCTTGGAGCTCGATCTCCCTTCAAAGGAACAATTTCAGTGACTAGGCAACAGTGAAAAGTATTAGTAAACATATTGTCGTCTTATGGAATGGACTTCCTGAATGGTTGAACATTTTAGATAACCACATGATAATTTCCATTTCTTTCCTGTATCATTTCAGTTCAGTAATGTACACTTTACAAAGTTCAGTCAACTTTTATCATAACCACATCTAACAATGGTTGTGACCAAAGTGCATGAATTATCTTCAATACTACATTCTGCTTTTACAAATAGTGTCCACACATTAGAGATAATGGGATTTAATTGGGTGTTGAAGTGCAGGCTGATTGGTGTAGGTGCAGTTATATACAACACTGCGTGCAAGTGTTTAATTGGGTATTTACAGATGTGTATCCAATCAGATATGATTATTTACTTGTACGTCTAGGGCCGACCTTTAACATTTTTTTCATTCGATAGACATGCTCGATTTTTGACACAGGGGTCGGCCTGGGTCACTGTTTAGGCAAAGATAGAGAGCTACGTCATAGTCATACACTGTACACCCGAGTAAGCATACCTCTAGCGTCTAGACCAAATCAAATATATTCACATATTGTTACCCTCGCTCAAAGGTCTCATTTTTAACTGTAGGATATTAAAGACACAATCAGGGATATTTGTATTGTGAGTTTGCCAATTTGAATTAAACCCTTTAAAATTGTTCTGAGTAACCTGGGTATGTTGATGGCTAACCTAAGGATATTAATAATTTAAAACACATTTAGAAATTAAAATATGGTTTAAATTTGCAATCAATGAACTGAAATTATGTTGCCTGGTATTACGGAAAGGAATTTTGATCCATATAAATGTAGAAACTTCCTAACATGAAAATTTATTGCAACCGGCATTTTACTTGAATATTTCATATTGTGCTATTTTTCATTATTTGCTCTGTCCATAATTTCTTTACCTGTTGTACATTTAATGTTATCGAAGTGAAATATATGAATATAGTTTATATATTTACATGTACTTGATGAATTAAAGAATAAAATAAAACTAGACTTTCTAAAGTATTCTTTTTTATACTTGACTTGTGAGTGAAAGATGAAATTTAATTTACATGTATCTCCATGTTTTGAATACATGTATCATATTTGATTGTCTTTGCTTGGAAGTATCCAGTAATCAGAGATTGAGGGAATAAGGTGTGTAAACATTTCAATATTGAAGTCTGTACTCTGAAGAAAACAAAATACATGTATTTACTTACTTTCCAGAAAGCACCTTCACTAAAAATGGGCATTTATGCAAAATCTTCAACAATACCATTACAAATTAATGTGGATAGTCTGAGTATCTTTGATATAAAATTCCATTATTCAAATAGAGAGAAGAAAGGGATGGGTATAGATGAGTTGAATTTATCACGCCGAGTGACATATTGGTGAACAAAATACAGACAAATGAGGACAAATTAACTCAATTCACGAAGGAGGTTTAAATTTAACCCATGGTTTAAACCCTCATTTACATAACCCATGGTTTAAATAAGCGTGACACAGTCAGAGGTCCAATATTAGACGCATGCAAGGCAAGGTACGCTTAATTTGCGCTTATTTTAAACCACGGGTTATGTAAATGAGAGTTTAAACGTTGTTTGTGAATTCGGGCCTATATGTCTATATAATGAACAGATCAGCAACTTCTGCTATGATGATAACAAGATCCAAAACTGTAGAAAACACCAGCCACAGAGCTTTCTTAAAAGTTCACATAATATCAAATCAAAGAGCAAAACAATGTTTTTCTCAGGAAGGACAAATATAGTTACATGTAGTTAGTGTCTTTTAATTTCATTTTCATAAGATATTTTCATAATATACATTGCATTCATGTTACATATCCAACATTTTACATCTTTGTAATTTTTTAACATCAGTTCATAATTCAATCATTCTTAACAGATCTATACAGAATCTTCAAAGAGAGGCAGTTAATATATTTTTTCATGCATTATGTACAGTACCATTAATTCTCCATCAACCATTACATGGAACTCCCACTCCGTATTTTGTGTGAATATTGATGTGCATCCCCTCTTTCTTTTCTCTTCTTTTTTCTGTCTTTTCCCCCTTTTTACCAATATTTTGTTCCTCCATATTTGTATTATTATGTATCCTTTGAGGGTAGTCATACTATCAAGCTTTGCTTATTTTGTCAACCCTCCTGTTTGATGTTCTCGATTAGTTACACCCAGCCTTACCTTATTCCACATATATTCTTTTGTCATGTGTAAATTTGCAATATTTGTTTGTTATATATTTGTAAAAATGCAAAAGAAAAAGAAAATCAAACAGAAATAAATAAATCAAATCAAATCAAATCAAAATGACAAAAACAGTTGACTATCCATAAGAAATGAAAAAATGATACTTTGAAATAATTTAAAATTGATTTAGTTGATGATAGGAAGGTTTTCTGATATTATCACATTCATTGGGTTGTAGAAAATACATGCAACAATAATTACAGTGTATAAGGCAATTCATCTCATTTGCACACACGTGAACAGTATTTTTTTATCAATTATTAAATATGAAGAAAAAAAAATTAAATATTGAATAATAATATCTGTATTCATCATCCTTCTTGATGTATCAACCTGACCTTTTAAAGGGCCACTCTTACTCTAACCCAACTAACATATTCAAAACATGAACACACCTTATTATTATTCCAGTCCCTGTTTTTTCAGAAAATCTCTAAATTGACCTAAAAATGATAATAATCATTTTTCAGTTCTCACGCTTGCTGGGCTACACCCCTCGAAAAAAGGTAATGCGGTCACGTGGCTTGATGACACATTTGACATCATTGCGGGCATGTCCGATTTGATAATTTCATAATTAGGAATGACGAAATTGCTAGAAACGTACTGGGATTATCAAGTGTATATTATTTTTTGGATAAAAGCCTTTTTTTTTCTTCAACTTATCTCATAGTTTGCCTTTTTAAAGACATTTTAATGCCTAATTCATCTGCCTTTTCACCGGAGAGGCGCCTGCAGTGACGTCAAATGCGTCATCACCGAAACTGGGCTTTTTTCTGAGCATTCTTTTTTAGTCGTCATTTTTAAAGCTAGATTCCAGAATTATTGATGATTCTAAGACTAAATCTTGTCATGTTCGGAATCTCCGTCAAAAATTATTGTACATGTCTTTTTTTCATTTTTAGCCCGTTTTGGTTAGAGTGGCCCTTTAAGCCAATATACCTGTGGAAAACCTGTCAAATCATACCAGTCTTGATAGTGTGTTCATCTCTGCATTCTAAAATAACATACACCTGTAATACATGTATATACAAATGACAAGATGCCATGATGTTTAAAATACTATGTTCATAAACAGAGACTCCCCCACAGCTGTTATACAGTATGCCATCAAACAGAGACTCCCCCACAGCTGTTATACAGTATGCCATCACACTAATGGTAAAGGCACTGCAAAAAGTTATCACAGTATAATTAAGCAATAGACCTGGAATCACATCATCATAAAATACCATATTTATTAATTGCCATTGCATGATTGAGGCAAAGTACAGCTCCTCTTGGCTTTATATTTTACGAAAATAAAATGTATATGTTATTGACTGTTACATATTTATGCAGTAATGGTGGTGATGAAGATAGTGGTGGCAATGATGATGATGATGTTGGTGGCATGATGATGATGATGATGGCAATTATGATGCTGATAACGGTAATGAAGTTGATGCCGGTAGTAATGATGACATTATTGATGACAATGATGATGGGTTGATGTTGATGATGATGATGATAATGACAAAAGTGAATTGGTGATGATGGTAATGAAGATGACGATAACAATGATGAATATAATGATGGTATCCACTATAATGACTATCATAATGCAGAAGATAGGACAAAATAGATCTCAAAGATTAAGAATATTTACAGAATATCATGAAAATACAAAACAAATTTAGTAGCTTTCCCTGAATTTGTTTTCTTCAAACATCACTTGTAAGAAAGGGATTGTTGCTGTTCCTGTGCTGCAGTATAAACTACACATAGAAGAAAGTGTCAAAACATTGAAAGCACAAAGAATTTCCCCCAACTTGTCATTAAATACCTCTCACATATGTACTCTATAGAATACTAAACCTGACGTGCAGATGAGTGGCAAGTGGCCATGAACAGAAAAGGATTAGCATTACAAAGGCCTCTTATTGTCCTCACTTACCTGTGTATTATAAAGTACACAAAATGTGAGGCAATTATGTTTATGTCATTTTGCTATGGCAGTTTATAAAGCGATACTGAAGTGATGAATATTGGCTCAGGCTATTTTGAACCTTTAAAAAAACTGTGGGCGGGGGGGGGGGCTAAAGATCTTGGCCACCGAAACTCTGATCGATTCCAAATTTCAAATGGTGATAGAAGTCCATGAGATCTACAATATTGCATAGTTAAAATATTTTTTATATTATTGAATATGCTAATTAGATCTATTTAATTATGCACAAATTGTATTTTGTATTTTTCTTAATATATAGTGATTCTTAAGAAACAAAACTGTTCACGGTACAATAAACATGCTAAGATTATATTTACACAAAAAAAGATTTTTAAAAGAGTATAATGAATAATTATGATGTCATATTATATCATGAACACATGCTTTGGTGATGATTTTATGTGAAATCATGAAAGACATTTTACTTCCTTCAGCAACAGTGCGAGTTTATTTGTCTTAATCATGAAAATTAATTCAGTTTTACCTTTTTCTTTGTTTTTCTTTGTATTATTCTTTATACATTGTATTGTTTTATGCAAATGAGAATGCACTAAGTTTTATTCACCATGCCAAATGGGAATACGAACAGTACATGTGCACAAATGGGAATAAAACTGTAACATTAAAGGTGCATCTAAAAACTCTGTATGTTATGAGAATTTAAAAAAAAAAAAAAAATTTCAGTGACACATGATTGCAAAATGTTACATAACACCCGGACTGTCGACCAGGGGGCGTGAATTTGATATCAAAAGATGCACAAGACTATAAGGATAAAAGTCATGAACTGGCACTGTAAAATATTTTAGCATTAGGAAGGAATCGCCAAAATAGAGGAGGGGGGAGGGGGCTTAATCAGCTCCCCAGTCTTTTTAGGGTTAATGCACAGTGCCATCTCATGGTTAATTTGCTAATAGTGCATAACCCAATACCTAATACCCAATACTAGATGCAAGAACCAAGAGGCCAGTTACGGGACATGCATGGTGCTGAAGCTGACTCAAGATGGCACTAGAGGAGATCTACTAGCAGAGCCATCTATACACAGAGTTTGGCCAACTTGGTTTCACTGGGTCACAACATGGCGTATATGGCGTATATTCTTATGTATATTCTTATGTTCTGTGCTTGCCCAACAAAGCAGTAGTCGCCATATTGTGTCCAACTTGAACCGGGTTGGCCAAACTCTGTGTATAGATGGCTCTGCACCAGTACAGGCTTATGAGAAAGAATCTGGTTACCCCCTTATTGACTGATGGAGAGAGTTCGACGGCTTATCTCCTGTCTCAGCATCTTCTTCTCCTGCTTCAAGCGATGGAAGACAGTCTTGTTCTCCTGGGCGCGTCTTGACATGTTGGCTAGCACATCCTCCATGCAGCCAAATGGAATGGACTTGTACGTCAGATATCCAGCTTGTCCTGAAAAAGGGAGACGGATCGAGGCATACTGTTACTCGCATTCTTTTTCATAAGTCTTGTGCGCAATAAGCTAGTTCACGGTTGCAGTCTGAGCATGAGCAGGTAATTGCAGAACAAATTGTGAAATACACAGAGACAAAATACTGGATACGTGCTCATGAAAGTTATGTTATCATTATTCATTCATGCACAAGCAGTGTACTCCATGATACACTGGTGGAAGTATTCTTTGAAAAGGGGAAACAAAGGCCATTTATGTAGCACTTCCATCGCTGTAGGAGTGATCATTTCAAAATGAACAAAGTAGGACCTATTCATGTTTTGAAGAACTGTGGATATTCGGGGTCATTGGAGCCATGTGCTAACCGTGAACTGGTCCATTGCAATAAAAGCCACTTCAGGTATTGACAGATAATTTTTCACCACGCAAATCCCTGTAATACCCTTTATATCCAGGGCTCCCTCTTATAAAGAGTTGATCTTAATCGCGACTTGTTTATGATTGATATCATTCGATCATCGCTTTTATGTACATAAGAGACGGAGGACTGCAAACTTGCGATGGATGGAGGACTTGTGATTGATTTGGATCAATCGCAACTCTTTAGAATACAGGGCCTTGAATCGATGCAGATATCTGATATACTTCAAAGGCAGAAAGTTTGATTTATCTAATTGAGAAGATGACTCATAGTTAAATGAAATTGTAATTAGCTTACCTAGCCCATACGAAACATGGTCGCACATTCCCATCAGCTGACCGAAGACAACACTGCCCTCTCTTGGTGGCAAGCCCAGTTCCCACATCCTAAAATGGTTGGAGAGAATTGAATAATGGTTTTGAAATGGTTATTTTAAGAGTTATCTTAAGTATCAAGAATAAAGGTTTTTAATAGAATATAGGTGGCATGCAATTATCTCCCTTTATCTCTCTCCGTCCTCTCCCTTTCTCTCTTTCTCTCCCTCTTTTTCACAATGCACATAACTATCAATGTTCTTCAAATCTATCTCCTCATCTTTTCAAATGATTTAAAGCTCTCATTTCTTTTCCCTATATATTGCCAAAAATTGTTCATACCTTTTCATTGCCTTGCTCACTGACTCTATGTTGTGGGTTGCGATGATCAAATTAACGCTGTTGCTGCTACGCTGATGGACAAGATCCAAAAGATGTGCCACCACTGTGTCATACATGTTGTTGGTATCTTCATAGGTATCATTCACAGGGTCTAGGGATCAGTAATGTACAAATTATGAATTGTGACTTTATTAGTGTACAACCGATCATTTCTAAAACATACTCTTCCCTTTCCTATCCACTCCCTTTCCCTCGCCCTCTCCTCCCCTCCCCCCCCCCCCCCCCTGCCTCTCCTCTTTCTCCTCTTTCTCCTCCTCCTCCTCTTCCTCCACATTGCCATTACTGTTATTATAAATTACTTCAACACCAAAGTTTTAATCATTATCACTAGACCCTTTTCATTTTCATTGACATAAGCATATTCATCCTCCTCTTCTTTTTCTTGTCCTTCTTCTCTTCCTCCTCCTCTTCTTTTCTTGTCCTTCTTCTTCTTCATTAACATAAACATCTTTATCATTACCACCACAACTAAATTTCCCATCATCCCTATTATCAACCAACCCTCCCTGCTACTAACCTGGCACACCTTCTAACCTAGCAGTATCACTTTCCTGTGCCATGTACGCACCCCTCACCACCTTCAAGTTCACCTTCTCCCCCTCCTCCTATTTTTCCTCCTCCTCCTCCTTCTCCCCCTTCTCCTCGTCCTCTTCTTTTTCTTCTTGTCCTTCTTCATTTACACAACTATCTTTATCACCACTATGATCGTATCACCAACATTACCACCACCACTAAACGTCTATGTCATGTTTATCAGAGCATCCTACATATTCATCCTTCCTCCTCCTCCTCCTCCTCCTCCTCCTCCCCCTCCCCCTCCCCCTCCCCCTCCCCCCCCCCCCCCCCCCCCCTCCTCCTCCTCCTCCTCCTCCTCCTCCTCCTCCTTTTCATCATCCGATAATTACCACCATCACTAAATTTCCCATCATCCCTATTACCAACCATCCCTCCCTGCTACTGACCTGGCAGGCCTTCTAATCTAGCAGTCTCCCTTTCCTGTGCCATGTACGCCCCCCTCACCACCTTCACTCCAAACTGAAACCCCTCCGCATCTGCCACGGCTACACCCCTCTTCAAGTTCACCAGAGCATCCTACATTTTAAAGAGAAAGTGTATCAAATACATTAAAGCCCATGCATCTGTACTAGTTTGGCCAGGGGGGGGGGTGGATTAGACCTCCTTGTAAGGTCACTGACAGGTGGTTATATATCTTATCAAATCAGCTCTCAATTAACTTAAGAAAAAGAGGATCATGGGGGACCAACAGGCACCGATTAGGCATTGTTTGATATATAGAGGGCGCAAGTATAGCTATAAGTAGTGCAGTGGGGCTTAAAGTTTTTCAGGGTAGGAATCAGTGGCTACATTGATCACATTTTCTTTTGTAATTTTTTGTTTACATGAAGTACTATAATCAAGCAGAACAAACATAGACAAAAGCTATGTTGAAAATATAAAACTGCTAAATTGTATAGGGAAACAGTGATTTCCAACATATTTTGAGAACAATTTACAATGTTTTGAGTGCGTGACAACGTCATAGTAGCTTACCTTCAGATAGCACTGGTATGTGTTCCATACCAGAGGCTCCTTGCTGTTGTATTTCTTCATTATAGCAAGTGTGATGAGGGACATCGCTTGATTGACAGACACATACTCAGCATCCACTAGAGTCTTGATCCCATTTTGTATTGCTCTCTACCAACAATTAAAAAAAATCAAAAAACTGAAGCTTAAAGGTAATACAAAGTTTTGGTATGGGGTCATGAATTTGGTTCAAATGAACATATTGGAAGCATATGCAATCCTACAATATTCAGTGATCTTTGTCACCGTTGAAATCGAGTTTAAAGTTACGAAATTGTGAATAATAAACTCTTTATGTTGTATAGCTCCTTCTCAAGGTTAAGATAATAAGCTATAAAACAATGTTTCTTGACTTTTTTTTATTAGCAATTCCCGTTGGAAATTATATATCACAACTACATATTCTGAGATTTTCCTGGTCGCAGCTACCATTGTACTGCCGCAGGCGCTATTTGAAATTTAATAAAAATTTACTGGGAGCACCGGTAAATTTTTATATTAAATTTTTCTCGAAAGCAGAAGTGTTTTAGGGGCTAAATTTTCTAGTGCTTATAATACATCCACAGGGGCATCCAAATATATAAAAATTGTACAGAATCACTATCCACCCAATTTTCAAATTTTCCCAAAACTTTGTATTACCTTTAATTGATTCAATTTGGTTTAATTTGTCAAGTACAAATAAATTTAAAATACAGAACGTAGACTAAACAGTCAAGACCAAGCTGTTTTGTCCGACACGTTTCCAAATTAATAACCACAACAGAGATTTCAGTATATCTGCACGATGTTTGTATCAAGCATATAGCCCTACTACAGCTTGAATCACACATCAAATGATATAGTTTTAGTTATCATTATTTTCTATTCTATGTTCACACATCCATCATACCAGTCAATACTACTTGGTGACATATTTTTCATTTATTTTCATTTATTTTCCACATTAAAAATCAGAAAAATATACAAGGTAAGAAAATACATTGCACAGATTTGACACATATTTAGCAAATGAAAAATAGATACATGAAACATAAAGAATGAGGAAAATCGACATCGGTTAACAAACATCAAACGTTTAAAACATTAAAAAAGTAAATAATGTAAACGGGGCTAGGAAAAGCGAAGCTTATCGAGTCTAGCCCCGGTAGCAATGAAGGCGAACTCCACCCTTCAAATGTCTGGAGATTATAATATTGACCTGATGAAAAACATTATTGTGAATTTGAAACATAATAATTATATTTTTTTATAACATATAGGACATACCTTGGACTTGCGCGTAACAGCCAAAAAGGGACATACATGTAAACAACAAGATTATACTCACAAAAAACCATAATTTGCAACAGGGTCAATCAAATATCAAATCAAGAAATGTACTGGAAAATAGTTAGGGTTAGGTTATATTGTTGGGTCTACGTACATGTAGTATTGAAAGTAGGAAATTAACGCAAATCACTTGTCGCACAAGCGTGGGTCAAATTGCACGGAAGCGTTTAAAGAGAAGATTGAGTTCTGGGAAGAGGTGAAAAATAATTTGCGAGCATTATCATTGTATTATAGGGAGTGGAAGAGGTTTTTTTTTTTAAGGGTGGGGGGGGGGGGTATGCTTACCTGAACAACAGTATCAATTCTCTTAAGAGCATGCTTGAGATGGGTTAACTCCATGTCTGTCAGCTCTGGAATATCCTTTAACAAAAAAATAAATAAAACAATTAATATGAAACCCATGAATACTTGTAGCACATAATCTACAACCATGCGCCTCTCCCAAAACCGTTAAAAGTGCATACGGACTGTATTTGCAGTGATATCGCACAATGAAAATACTTTATGATTATTATCATAACTTTCATCATTATTGTTATTATTATTAATATCATTATTATTATTATTATTATTATTATTATTATTATTATTATTATTATTATTATTATTATCATTATTATTATTATTATCATTATCATCATTATCATCAAAAATGTATATGACAGTGAGATAAACCTATAGGCATGTATGCTTCTTTCGCAGTTTGATGACATCATAATTTAAATTGATTGTTTGTTGTTGTTGTTGTTTTTCTGTGGAGGGGGTAATTATCAATACTGCAGTGTCACATATAAGTTGAATGACTATATTCAATAGTAAATCAAATACCAATTGACAAAACTTTAACATAGAGAAGACTTAAAATTCAACGGCATACCATTAAGTCGCCATCCAGTCCATTCATCAAATTGGCAACACAAACAGGGTTGTCCGTCAAGAAGTTATTATCCATCGTTGCAAGAATGTCCGAGAGTCTGGCCTATATAGTTGGGATGCAAAAGAATTAGGCATCACATTAAACATATCTTCAGTTCCAAATATAGACCTGTCTATATAGGCCTTATACTTATATACCGTATAAATGTAGGCTACATACGATCAGTGGCGTAGATCCTTACTTAAATCTTAATACCTGTTGTTCCGGGGGGGGGGGGGGGGGGGTTATGAATGAAAATGTGATAATCAAGTAACAAGAGATATCAAGGCTCAAATTTGTATTGCAGAATTTTATTTGAGGAGTTTATATTTTTTCATTGAATTACAATATATCATCCTTTTCTCATTAGTGAACAAAATTGAACTTGTTTACAAACTTTTATAGTCTTTGCTATTTAAGAAAATGACCTTTAATCATTCCACATACAAGTACCTGATTTACAACACATAATATATCAATTAACCCCATAATCTTGATCTTGATTTCTATCGTTCTACACATACGTTTTAGCAAACATGCTATGCAAATAAACCTGAACAGAATCCATGAACCTTTGTGATATAATAGGTTTATATTATGTTCCCGGCGGCCATGGCAGCTATAGCCCCGTTTGCCCGAAACGTAGTGTGCCGTGGGATTTTTGCATTTTTTCTCTGCCCTATTCAAGATTAGTTTATAGGTCTTGCAATTTTTTTTTTATTACTGTCACGATTTGTTGCATTCACCCCATTTTACTACGGCCTACTACTTAACAAACAGCCAAGGAAAATATATATCGCTAGTCTGCTAGAAAGTTTACTGATGATATCAAGGTAGGAAGGAAACAAAGTTATTCCTTTAAGGAAGTACAATGAAATACAATTGTTTTGACAGTTCCATGCTAACACCCCTATACAAGAAGCTAAATCTAACGAATTTTCTAGAGCTGTACACTGTATTCTTTTCTCCTGTTATTCTGCAGTAGTTGTTTTAGCCTGTATATTATATCATATTCACACCTTTTGCAGATAGTGAACTCATTCTGATATACATGTAGTTGATTCTCAGATAGAAGTAGTTGCAGAAGAAGACAAAGTGTTGATTATACTGATCATTTTAGATCAAGTAAAGTGATATATAGAAGTAATATATGTTTAAATAATTGAAATGTCTCCTAAGAAGCCTTACATTTATAAAAGTTGTTGTTCTATGGCGGACTAATGAATATTAATAAGTCAGAAGAGCTTGTGTATTTGTTTCTAGTTCATCGTGACTGTACCATTGACCAGTGATGGCCTGGTGTTAGAGTCGCTGCCCGGCAAACAGTAGTTGCAGGTTCCAAGATTTTATCTGACTTGTTTTTCAATTACAGATCGATCAATTAATCTTATTTAATAATAATAATAATACTCAGTTTATATATATAGCGCTTATTACAATCACTAAGTGCTTTCAAACTTGGAGATTATTACCTGGCTTTAGCTGTGCTGCCATTACGGCTCTCTAGCATTTCAAAGGATTAATTCCTGTCAGGTACCCATTTACATCACCTGGGTTGAGTGTGGCAATTGTAGATCAATGTCTTGCCAAAGGACATTAGTGCCATGGTGGGACTTGAACCGCGGACCTTGTGATCCACAGTCCGGTGACATATCCACTCGTCCACGACACCGGAAGTAATGTGTTCCCCTTTCGAGGTACATGAAGGAGAAGTGTCAAGATTAAAGCTGTGACTCACCAGAAGATCAGCCTTGATATAAGATGTTATTCTGAGTTGAGAAAGGATTGGCTGATTAGGCCGGGCCACTTCAGTTTGCATGTCAAGGCACAGTAGCATAGTTTCTACGTTCCTCTCATACTTTTCCTCATTTATGCTGAAAGAAAGAGATAATCATATAAATTAAGGACTTTCAAGATTATTTAATGATGCTATAATTGTTTGAAGGAAAGTCCAACCTTTACAGACAACTCAGTTCTCTAAAAGCAAGCAGGAAAATCAGAGAAGCAGACTGGCAAAAGTTTAAATGAAATCTGAAAACAAGAAAGTTATGATTTTGTTTTCAAAGTTGTAATCACTATACGTATATGGGCTCTTCAAATTGGCTTAATCAGTATTTTCAGTCTGCAGTAGTGGTGGACAACTTTCCTAATGTTCCAACACACAAAATTACTAAAATGTCATTTTCCAAAATCGATATGTTTCATGAGGGTCTTTTTCTTTTTAGAGGACCTATAATAACTATCCGTTTGTCAGACACTTTGTCAATCTGTCAGTCAATCACATCATAGGTCAATCTGTCGGTCAGTTGGCGATCAGACAATAAGTCAACCTGTCAGTCGATCACATAGTCCATTGCTATCCATAATATATTCTGAGTAGTGCCCAAAGGGAGGAGGCAGTTAGGAGAAAAACATATATTAATTATATTTGTGTACAAAGTATGACAAAGGAGAGAGTTGGTCATGACTATACATCACCATCCACTGATGATCAAATTACCAATTTGAGATTTGCATTGATATAAACTTAGTGATCTTATATTTCAAACATTGATAACCAGCGCTCAAAATACACGGGGGCGATGGGCGATTCGCCCTCGTGAGCTCCATAATCGCCCCCGTCAGGTTGCTCACGGGGGCGATTGCAAAAGTAAAAATCGCCCCCGTGGAATTATAAAATAAAGTTTGTTTTTTTCTGGTATAACTTTAAAGGGAAAGTCCACCCCCAAAATAAGTTTGTTTCGATAGAGGCAGAATAATAAGAAAATCAGGTGAGTAAAAGTTTGAGCAAATTCTGAATGAAAATAAGAAAGTTATGAATTATTGAAGTTGTGATCAATCAAATACAAATTGGCAACTCTGTGACTTATTATACGAGCTCTCCTTCATTTGCTTTGTGCATAATATTCCATAAAATCATGTTTTCTTCGTTATTGATGACGGAATATATATTTGTTCCTTGCAGGGGGAGTATAGAAACATATTTGCAATTATTATATTTAGGGTGCATGTATGGTTGAAATTTTTCTTGAGGGAAAATGAAAATTTTAGATTTTTTTAGTACTGAGCAAATGGAAGTTGAGCTCGCATGATACGTCATAGAGTTGCCAATTTGTGTTTGATTGATCACAACTTCAAAAATCCTAACTTCCTTATTTTTAATCGGAATTTGCTCAAACTTTCACCGACTTGTTTCTCTCATTTTTCTACTCCTATTAAAACTAACTTAATTTCAGGGTGGACTTCCCCTTTAACACAATAGTGAGTATCAATTTTCAAACCTTGAACCAATGAAATGGAACTTAGATGGCCCTATCTCTACCAGTAAATCAATATTGAGAAGAAGAAGAAGAAGATCAAAGATGTTGCAGGGGCAGATCTAAGCGGTTTAGGGGGTTTACCCCCCCCCCCCCCCACCCTCCCCCTTGGGCTACCAAGTAAAATGTGATGTGCATAGAAAAATGCTATCATTGTGTCCAGACCTACACAGTATTAGTACATGTCAGTAGATGCCAGGCAAAAACATCTCTAACGGGGGTTCAAAATAGCACCAAAAAATCGCCTCGCCGCTTTGCGGCTCGTGGACGATGCTCCGCATGTTAGTAGATGCCAAGAAAACATCACTTACGGGGGTTCTAAATAGCAACAACAAAAATCGCCTCGCCACTACGCGGTTCGTGGACGATGCTCCACATCGTATTTGGGTTACCCCCCCCCCCCCACCCTTAGCAAAAAGCTAGATCCGCCCCTGTGTTTTGGAAGGATATGGTAAAGACTAAAAGTAAAGAAAGAATTTAAATAAGGTTGCTCCGAATAATGAGGAGGAAATTATGTGCAGAACGGGAAGAAATGGAGAGAATGTCATCATGGGGAGAAAAGTCGATAACAGCTATGTAACAAGTAAATTTCTAAGAGGGAAAATGCCGACTTAAATTAATAATAATGATGAAATACCGAGGAATTTAAAAGTTTTGTGGGTACCAATTCAATAAAAATTTGTATTAAAATAAGAGCCCCCGTCGGCACTAAAAGAGCCCCCGTGGACAAAAAATTAATTTGAGCCCTGTTGATAACTCACTTATTATTGTCGGACCGTTTTAACTTTATTAGCAGAATGAAGACCATCAAGTTTAGAATGTGTTGATGACTGTGTATGTGATCAAACTATTGACTGTCTAACTTTATCTTCTAAAGTCTGAACTGATTGATGGATGGATTAACTGAACGATTAAACTATATATATCACTCTCTATTAGGGGGCAGACTTCCTGATCATCTAAACTGAATATATGTATAAATGCACGTCTGGTTGAATGAGTAAATAACTGATTAACTGACTATCTGACTGAATAGATAATAAAAGTCTGACAGAATTGGTGACCGATTGACCATTTAACTTACTCTAAGTGTGAATGACAGATTAATTGACTGATCAATATAGACTGATCCGCAGAAAACAGACAGAATGAATGACTGAATGACTGAATAACCAACTGTCAGACAGACTGACAAACCGACCGACAGTTTGACCTAGTATGTGATTTACTGATAGGTTGACTTATTTTCTGACAAACTAACCGACAGATTGACCCAGGCGCGGATCCACGGGCCGATTCTACAGGCCCGCCCCCCCCCCCTTGCCCCCGTAAACCTGTTTAAAAAATGGGATAGGCCTAGTAACGTAAATGTTACCTTTTTAAAACAAAAGCGCCCCCCCCCCCCCAACAAAACAAAAAAATGTTTAAATAAATAAATACAAAAATAAAATCCCCCCGCTCATTCGCCGGCTGGCTGATTCGCCGCTAAACATTTTCTCAAGATTTGGCCCCAAATTTTCAAAACTGGTCTTTACCTTTAAGAAATTATAAAGATCAGTTGTATTATGCGTATATACATATGAATACAGAACAAAATGTTGATTATCATACTGTCAGTTTGGAATACCTCTATAAGAATACCCCATCTTACTTTGCTGATACCACATTGTTTTAGCTGGTATCAGTATTAGTATGAGCCAATATAAAGTTATTATTCTTTATTCAGTTCAGTATATTAAATGCTTTTCCTCAAATATAGTTTCGCTATTTTGTTAGGGTTGAGACGCTAAGAAATGGTTTCATTACACAAACCCTGAACCGTTGCATAATGATGGTGGTTCTCTCTCTCTCTCTCTCTCTCTCTCTATTTATATTTATCATGCATTATCAACTACATGTACATAGAAAGCAGCAACAGAAAACTTAGGGTTATCTGGCATAGGTGAAAGTGAGAGTTAAAAAGAAAGTCAGGTAAAATTGGCGCTTCATCTCCCCCCCCCCCCCCCACCAAAAAAGAAAAAAGAAAAGATATATGTATGTGCTCTTACCCCCCCCCCCCTCCCCCCCCCCCTCCCCCCCCCCCCCCACCCTGACTGACTGACTGACAATTTGACAGATCAACCAACTTTAAGTACTGCTTAACGGCTATGTAGTTCATCAAACTGACTAACTGTTTAACTGAGAGACATACTGATAGACCTTTATTCAAGACTTTATGGATCTGTGATTAAGTGTGAAACTAGAGTATGTGCCTTCAGACTAGTCTGCAAGCACAAACCCTGGTCAGTCGTAAAAGTGAGTCTGCACTATAAGACTACCATAGGCCATGTACTGTAGCTGCTCCTGATTGACACAACCAGTAGGTAGCTGGGCTAGACTTCTCTCAAGGCACAATGATTTTTTGATTAAGTGTCAAATTAGGGTCTGTGCCTGCAGACTACCTTCAGACTTCCTTTCCTGCTTCTATACACCGTCAATCAGTTTGTGATTCTGTAAAATACCCAACAAACTTTAATGATTATGCAGTACCGGCCTTGACCTTTTGTTTGCTTTCAGCAGGAAAACAATGAAAAACAGACAACTATGCAGGAAATTTCAGTTGTAGCGGCCTCCACATAAGTGCAGTCTATGGGGCTCAGCTAGTGTTCACACAATGTATGCTACATGTACATGTACTTATCATGAAATTGTGGGACCTTTGCTTTGTATGAGACTCCAATAAAGAATAATTTTGCCAACATGCTGTTTTTTTGGTCTTGATTACCTTGGTTATTTCAAAGCAAATGGGGGATAAATCACATAAGCCAAAATATTATCACTTTTGACAGATAGAAAAGTTAATGAATCCAGGAATTGTTGTATATTTTGTATCTGAAGGTATTTTGTTTGTTTTTTCTTCTGTTTTCATTATATTTTGTTGTTTAGTTTGACTTTGTTTTTATTTCAATAGCACAAAAGGAAGTTATATAGATCTAGAACCAATCAACAAAAATCTTTTCTCTAGCACTCTCTCTCTCTCTGTTTCGGGTTCCATATTTTGCCATTTTGCCATTCGTAAATGATATTCATCATCAAATGATTATTAGACCCTATAGATGGTAGACAAAATGTGCATTAGCCAAACTGGAAATTAGACTAACTGGTTATTGGACTAAATGAACAATAGACCAAATGGGTAGTAGTCTAATTGGAGATTAGACCATATGGAAATTAAACCAAGTGACTATTAGTAGGGAGGTCAATCAAGCAGTGAGAATTAACCAAAGTGGCCATATTAGACCAAATGATAAGTAGACAAAATGATAAGACGGGCTGGGTGTAGACCAAACAGCAATTCACTACAACACCAATAGAGTGGTGAAATATGACGTCATCAAAAATCTATTTTGGGAAGTTCTCAATTTTTTCTTCATTTTCCGAAAGACCATCTAAATAATGTCCAAATGTTGAAAACTAATTGAATTTATATGTTAAAGGGAGTGGGTAGTCAGGTTCCATGTGCAGAAAGCTATAATTCGCTGACACCAGACTTGGTGGAAATACCATTAATGGGAGTACAAATCTGCACACAGCAAACCCGTTGGCCCGTCAAGAATTACCCCCTAGTCTCTCGGAGCATGCTCGGAGATTATTCGGGTGAAGGAAAAGCAAAGCATTACATAAGGTATAATGGTCATAAAACTCAAGGCTAACCCTGGTGATTGACAACACCTGTTATTTGGGTAAACACCCGAACGGTGTCGAATTCCCCATGAGAGCTGACTTCTATGTGACTTTAAGTATTGGCTGAGATATGACCATCTGAATAAATAGATTTCCTTCATTCAGATGGTCATATCTCAGCCAGTCAATTGGTTTTCAACATTGGGACATTATTTTTTATGCTCTTTCGGAAAATGAAGAAAAAAAATTGAGAAATTCCAAAAATAGATTTCTATGATGTCACAGCTTCGGTACTCATATATATTTTGTCTGTTTTGGGTTATCAATAAAATAATTAATACCAACAACAACAAAACAGCCATATACTCACGCATCTGGGCTATCTCCCACTTTCTCTTCAGCAGTTGTGGCCAGCATAGGTGCGATGTCAGCAGCGTTGAACTTGTTTGCTACCTGCCGGACCGACTGCGGACTTGCCGCAAATTGGCCGTAAAAGGATGCCCTCATGAGGGCTGTGAAGAGAGTCTCACCCATCACCCGAAGGCCAAGGGTCATCAGCTGTGGCCGGGCAGAACAAAATTCAATTCAATTCAGCATTTATTTAATTCCATAATAAAAACAGTAACATCAACACACATTAAATATCAAAGAAATACTATACATAATTATTATATTTTGGTTGGAGTTATTAAAATAGTAAAACATTGACAGTAACGAATTAGGAATTTGGTTGCTGTATAAAAACCCTGTATAACAAGGGAAACGCTCTCGGCGGTCTCGCCTGCATTACGCAATTCGATATAATGAGAAACTGAGGTTGGAACATTATGCATATAGGCAGGGTGGCCCATTAGCAGCCCCCCAAAATGAAATCCTCTGAATATAATCACATTTTGAAGTGAATATTGCCTAAGAATCATCAGAAGAATTATTTACTATTAAATGTACCACGATCGATAACTTGAATGAAATATATGAACAAATTAATTAAAAAAATTATTAATTCTCATATTAAGTTGTGAAAACATAATCCAAATCTACTGACCTTTGACCTTGTGACCTGGAATTTGTGTCATATGATTTGTGATACTTGATAACCCCTGGGTACAAGTTTCATGGAAATTGAACAATCAATTTTGAAAATATGCTAAAAAATTCAAAATCTTGATGTTGATGCCACAACAAAGTCTAAGTTTGTTGACCTAAAATGACCTTTGACCTTAACTTAGCGACCTGAAATACTACTCACATGATTGGGGATACTTGATAACCCTATAGTCCAAGTTTCATTGACTAAGAACTTAAACTTTCAAAATTATATCAAAAATTCAAAAACTTAACCTTAGGTTAAGTTTTTGATGATGATGCCACAACATAGTCCAAGTCTGTTGACCTGAAATGACCTTTGACCTTGACTTTGTGACCTGAAATTCTACTCACATGATTGGGGATACTTGATAACCCTATAGTCCAAGTTTCATTGACTAGGACTTATACTTTCAAAATTATATCAAAAATTCAAAAACTTAACCTTAGGTTAAGTTTTTGATGTTGATGCCGCTGCCACCGTCTCCGTCGTCGTCGCCGCCGCCGTCACCGGAAAAGCGGCGCCTATGTCTCGCTTTTTTGCTACGCAGGCGAGACAAAAATGACAAACTAGAATTGTGCCATTGCATGGTAAAAGAAAAGCTGTTACACTCTTTGAAAGATACATGTACCTCAGTCATGTTAGTTTAATAGTTGTTAATTCTGTGTTTCAATTCAAAAACTTAATAACTTTAATTTTCATTAGATTTTCCTGAAACCATGTTTATACAATTTTTATTGAAAAGATTTGCTGATTTTATGAATCTGCTGATGTGTCTACAGGTACATTATGAAGTGATTAAAAATTATTTTGTCTGATGAATGTAGGTGCAATCTACACTCAAAATTGTATTCATTTTACATGGGCACGAGCTAACATTTTCAGCTCGATTGCCATGGCTACCAGTCACTCCTGACAGTGACAGCTTGGCCTAGACTTTTGGGCGGAACTATCTGAAAATAAGACACAAATAATCAACAGTTGATTAACTACTTTCAAATTTGGGTCCTAGAAAATTTAAACCTACCACTAACAATGCTGGACCATATAAGACTTAAAAACCTACAGACTGCAGTACAATACAGTGCAGTAAATTTTCATTTTACTTTTTCCCCTTTCACGAAGCTCATTTTGGGAGATAACATAAACATTAAACAAAGACAATCTTTGGTCTAATGTTAGATTGAACTAAAATGTAAAATTTGGGCTCTAACGAATATGGCCTTGTAAAATCTCCATTCTAGGCTGCGTTTACGTCTAGGTTAGGCCAACTGTCGGCTGGTTATCTAAGTAAGATGTAGACCTCTAGGCTTGATTTTAGGAAAGGGACTAAATTGGCTATAGACTTTAACTACTTAGGGCTTTCTTAGGCCATGACATGGCAAGTACAACTTGATGCAAGTACATTTATGAGATAGCAATGCAAGAAAGTGTATGTTTGTTCTTGACCTTTTATTTTTGTTTCAGGCTGATGTTTTTCTTCAGTAAATTGAATGAAGGCAAATTCCCTGATAACTGAGACAAATTCAGAGAGACGAAGGAGAACTACTGAGCTGCTGAATTTCTGACAGGTAGGCTGTACGAATAATTAGTTGTTTGTATGCCCAGGTACTTCAAGGATGGCATTTGTTCATTCACATTTTTCCATCAATACTTTCAAGTAATTGATTATGCACTCCACTTTTACCACAAAGTACATGCAAGACCTTTTTAATGTTTAACAGAAATAGGTTTCAATGTGCTTCCTTTCATTCTTTTCTCTTTTCATTCGACAGACGTACTTGCAAGGACTATGAAGTTCTACTAAGCCTCTTCAATGAACCAGACTACATCTGCTGTAACTGTGACTGCATGGGGATCAAAACCTTTGTATTATAATCCTCATAACATGATGATAACAAACAAGCAACCATTGATAACAAGCCTGATATGTCCTTGTTGTGTGTGTGAACCACAAAGCAACCATCACTCATAAGGATGTTTTTATGTACATCCGATGTTCATTGTTTCACTGGATAAATTGTGATTTTGAATCATTTAAGAAATCATGTTTTATAATGTGTTTTATAATATAGTGCAAGTCATGATATAACAGATTCCCTCAGTGCAAAAGAAACACTGCTCAAAAGTAGACTATGCTTTGTTTTTAAAAAATGGGGAAAAAAATGTAACAAATACATAACATTTAATTCTATTAGTTTCAAGTAGCAGATTATGAGGCTATTGGAGCTTTAATATTTGACCTTCAATTTTATAATCGTATTCATCATGAATTACAATCTTTTCTGTTTTAAGAAAAATAAATAAACTGAACATAATTGTTGATATGTTATATACAATATTCCGTTCATATCTTTTGATTTTAAGTGTGCATACTGTTGGGTTAATTGAATTATACATGGAAAAAGTCTTGATATAGAACAGTGAGAGAACAGAGAGCGAGCAAGAAAGAGAGATAGAGTAAAAGAGAAAGGGAACCAAATGAGAAAGAACAATTTAATGGTGAGAGAAATAAACAATGATGTGAGATAGTGTGTGTGAGAGAAAGAGAGAGAGAAAGAGAGATGGAGATAGGGAGAAAGAGTTGGGGGGTACAGTGCCCCTGTTTTCAAATGCCTCTTTTCAGCTCTGATAAGTGCCCCTTTAATTTTGACACGCGCCCCTTTTCCTTTGACAAGTTTCCATTTTCCTTTGCAACAAGTGCCCCTTCACCTCTGATAATTGCCCTATTTAAATATGAGAGGTGCCCCTATTAACAAAATTATCGGTGCCACTTTTCTTTCAACAAATGCACATTTCCTTTATTATAAGTGCCTCTTTTTCATTCTCATAAGTGCCCCTTTTAAAATATGTTCAATGCCCTTTTTCAGGTGCGATATGTGACCCTTTTCACCTCTGATAATTTCCCTTTTAACAATGATACAATTCCAGCAAGTGCCCTTTTTGTTGGTGCTGCCCCCCGCTTTGGAAGTCGCTCCGCCGCCCCTGGACATCATATTGCTCAAGTTGTTGAGGTGATTCATCCTCTCCACACTGCGCACATCCATTGTCTTAGTCCAGTGTCTTAGTGCATTGTGACGTCGCAGCTTCGGTACTGAGCATGTGCAGAAACCGTAACTATGGTGAATAATCCATGGACTAAGTTAGGCCAGGTTTAAACCATGGATCAGTTAGGCCACCTTTCGAGAAATGAAAATGACTTGGGTCAGCGGCCTAAGTTAAGCCTGGCCTAACTAAACCACAGACTAAGTTAGGCCAGGTTTAACTTAGGCCGCTTTCGAGAATACCACCCAATGGGCTTAATTAACTGGTAATTCATAACTTCATTCCAGCACAGTGAGTGGAGTATTGGACCATTTGATACCAGCTGATTCCAGTTGGAAACCAGTAGATGCATGATTACCAGTTGCTTTACTATTTGGATGTCAGGTTGAGCACTGTACAACCTTAGCATTCGCTTCCAGAGAAGCTCCCTAAATGAGATCAAAGTTTAGAGTAGTGTTGATACAGGGAAACCTGTCTCACACATGACATCCCATTTTCAGGGATATATCTTGCATGGTATTTTACACCCTATGAGAGAATTTGTTCTTCCTAGACTGGCTTTTTCGTTTTATCATGTATTTCCATGGGAGTTTAAAATCCTGTTTAGTTTCAGACCCATGGCTCAAATTTCCTGCCATTTCTATGTAGTAGTAGTAGTAATAGTGGTGGATATTTTCATCTGACTGCTAAGAAAGCATAAATGCTTGTTAGTTAGTAAGCAACCAGAGGACCGATGGCTTAGGTCCTCTCCGAGTGAGTATTCTTAAAAGTTGTATAGTGTATACCCTTTTTTCCAGATTTTCAGTTTTTATGCCCTTAACATGTTAAACAAGCATTACATGCCTGATGATGAAAAAACAACACTTTTCACATCTTTTCATATACAAGGATATATTGAATTGAATTGAATTGAATTGAATTAAATTGGCCTCAATGAGACATACAGACACCCCCCCCCCCCCCCCCCACCCCCTCTCCAACACCAGCAGGTCTTTAGAGTTTAGACTTTACCTTGAAACTGTTATCAACCAAAAAGTTGAAGCTACACATTTGAAGCACCACAAAGCTCCTTCCCAGCTCCAGGGTTGCTTTCTGCTTGAAGATGATTTCTGCTTTGCTAAAGTCGATTACAGGAGGCGACTTTCCATCAGCCCCCTGGACCAGTAGACCTTTCTTGTGAAGTAGGTCATCCTCTGCGAATGCATTCACAGTACGGCCACTGCTGTTATGGCGCTGAGCTAGAGTTGAAACCGGAAGGCAACCGTGACGACATCTTCGTTCACATGCAAAAGTGTCTTTTTGGTGATGAAAAAATCTTCGTGCATGACGTACTGCCCTAGCTCTAATCATCCTCGCCTGAAACATGACAGTTCTTCTTGTACAATTTAGAAATATTCATGGAACAAACGTTCACAGCGCAGTAATCCGTATATTTGGTTTAACTTCGCCAACTATTACCTGTACATGTAAATATACTAACGTAGCTAGTGAGCTGCGGTTGAGCGTGTTGTTGTTTTGAAAAGTTGTCTCAGTATTCAGGCCTGAATTCAATTTTCTAATATGATTTGCTACCAGCTACTCGAACTGGTAGTCAGCTCCCCCCCCCCCCCCCCCCCCCCCACTCAGTGTTATTTAGGGTACGCGTATGCTCATGGGTGTCGATCCTTACCTAATACCTCTCCATCAGGGGGGGATGAATGAATAGATCACCCCCCCCCCCCCCCTGATGAATAGGTATCAGTTACGGATCGACACCCATGCGTATGCTCGTTCCCTCTTTTTTAAAGCTCATCTGCCATAGTTTACAGGAGGGATTAGACTGCCCTGCAAGGTCACTGGACAGATGGTTATCTCATCAACTCAGCTCTCAGTTAAAATAAGAAAAAGGAGGATCATGGGGGACCAATGGTCACCGATTAGGCATGTTTTGTTATAAAGAGGGCGCAAGTAGCTACAAGTAGTGCAGTGGGCCTTTAAAGCACCCCCTATCTGAGGACTGCCAACATTTCCAACCCCCCCCCCCTTTCGCGGGCTTTTCGCGGGCTTTTCCTGCCTTGGAGACCCCCCTAAATACGGAAAAATGCTCAATATGTACCCCCCCCCCCCCCCCATAAATTCGGAATAATTTCTCAGGAGTCCAAAGAGACGAGAGAAAAAAAAGAAAAACACCCCCTTTTTAAAGAAATCTCTGGGTGAAAAGTCAAATACACCCCTTTTTTTTTTTACAATTCTCGGGCCGGACTTTGTCGCACGAAAAGTACCCCTTTACCGGACATTTTGGTAACACGCAAGCGGTCATTCCGACCCCGGAGTGGGGGGGGGGGGGTCAGCTTCTCAGCGATAAGTCATTTTAGACAGGTTTTAGACAAGGGTAAGAAGCAAAGAATATATATATCCCTCCTTCAATACCAACTTTGGTGAAATATTATTCCTTCCCATGTGGACTAGGACTATGGAATGAGACTAAGAATAATAATAATAATAATAATATTTAATTTTTATATAGCGCTTAATACAAATGTCTCTAAGCGCTTTACAAATATATACTATTACCCCGGTCATTGGATTCAGTGCTTGCCCGCAAACACTGTGTGCACAATCTCCACTGGGGTGTGTCAAGGGTATGGACCTTGTTCCTTTCACGAAAATCGTGTGATTTACCGACCTCCCATTGTTCAACGTGTATATTGTAAAGAAAATGCGTTTCACTGAGATTGATTGATTGTTTGATTTTATTCGCCAAGCCTCCAACATACAACAATCAATATATAAAAGAATAACAGATCAAAATTAAGTCAGCTTGAACCAAGCGCGTAGCCAGGATTTCATTTTAGGGGGGGGGCGGTAGTGAGCACGCTAAGCGTGCGAATCACTTAAAGAGCGCGCGAAGCGCGCTCCCTAGGGGGGGTGGGTGCAGGGAGGGGGGAGTTTCCCCCCCTCCCGCGCAAAGCGCGGAAGCTTTGAAAGAAGACGATTCGTTGTACCTTTCTCGACTCATAATCCTTGTCTGAATTCAGTGTCAGATTAATGCCCTGTTTGGCAATATCTGGCTGATAGAAGCTGTTCTGTTTACTATAGATATGTTGGTTAGGAATTCACACAACAATAATTACACAAATTCAATGCATTATGTAGATATTTAAATCTTGAAAGTATGATTTATTAATCACATTTCTTCATCTATTCTTCTTCACTCACTGTATTCAGAATGAGTATTACATATATCTGATATAAAGTTGAAATGCCAATATGATGAATATATTTCAGTCATATGCATTAACTATACTTGTTCACATGTAAATGATTCACTCAGTCTGAGTTATTTAAATGATTTTACAAGTAATTCACTAATTTCCGTAAGAAAACCCAATACCCCTTTTTGGTAAAGCAGTACTGCATATGTAAAACCGTACAAAACCTTGAGCTCAAGTACGTAAACTGTGCCTCTTAGAAATATCTAAAAACTCAAATACTACGAGTTTTATCACAGAATAATTGATATGAATTAAATGTCCGCGACCGTTCTCAACCCTATGGAACGTTCTTACATTGTCTTCCTGTGCTCCAGGTGTGTCTCATGTAGACAAACGCACGAACTTGAAGAACCCTGGCTGTTTGAGTATAGTCGCTGTTCCGAAGCTTGTCGTTTCTGACGTATTCGGCGTTGAAGTATGATGTAGCTCGTCTAGTAGACGAAAAGTCTCATCTCAGAGGTTAGAGAAGATCTGTTTTGGAAGATCTGTCCTTGAAGATCTCTTGTGGAGTTGAACCGTAATGAAACTGGAATGGAATCCGAATGGACCCGGAATGGGACCTAAACTGGAACCTCAAAGTGGAACCCAGCTGCCTGACTGTGGTGTCAGAGACATGATGTGGAGCTGTTGAGAAGTTTTCTCCTGGCCTGTGCTGCCCGAATTTAAGGGTAGATGCCAACCAAAGTAAGTAGCTACATGCTGCACATCTCAACTCCTCACACACCCACTCAGCATACAGGTCCTGTCTTGACCAATGCTTAAGTTGCTCTGCCCAGCCCAAACTATGCCTGAACAGCAGCACACATGCACACAGCACACAAGCACACATACATAGCTCTCCCATTGAGAAAAGGTACTGTAGCTAGGGATTCTATTGTGTTCTAGATGCCTATCTCCTAGTCTAAAAACCAGTCACTATGTTCTAGTCTTAAATTACCAGTCACTTTGTGACATTCTCCCCCTCCTTAAAGACATTAATTACATTTTAATTCCAATGAATGTCTAAAAGTAAATTTCCCGCACACTATCTAATATATATCTAAACTAAATACAAAATGAAAAAAAAACTAACAAATCACTCTGGGATTCTGCTTAGATAATCTGCTCCAATATTCTCGCTACTCTTAATGGCAGTGATGGTGAATCTGTACGGCTGTAGGGCCAATGCCCATCTCAAGATTCTCCCATTTGCACATTTTGATTTGGCAACGCATTTAAGCGGCTGGTGGTCAGTCTCAAGATGAAAGTGCTTTCCATACAAGTATGGTTCGTATTTCTGTATACCCCAAACAACTGCAAGACACTCGCGCTCCATCACTGCATAACGCCGTTCCCTCGGAAGCAGCTTTCTACTTGCGTATGCAACTGGGAACCTCTGCCCATCGACATCCTGAAGGAGTATTGCTCCAAGTCCCACGTCTGATGCGTCTGTCCTTAGGATGAAAGATTGACTCAGATCTGGAAGGTGGAGAATTGGTTCCTGTGCCAGCTTCTGCTTGAGTGCGTTAAATGCATTCTCCTCAGACGTACCCCACTTTACCTGTGTAGGTTCACCGTTTTTGGTTCTGTCTGTCAAAGGAGCTGCTAGTGCAGAGAAGTTAGGGATAAACCGCCGGTAATATCCTATGAGGCCAAGAAACGAGCGTAGCTGTTTCTTGGTTCTTGGTTGAGGCGCACTCTGGATCGCCTCCACTTTGTCTGGGACCGGTCGTAGTTCACCATGTCCTACTCGATGTCCGAGAAATTCTACATTCTCGCAACCGATGACACACTTCGTTGGCCTTACTTTCAGATTGGCCGTCTTTAGTCTCTCCAACACCCTCCTGAGAGTTTTCAAGTGTTCATCGAAAGTAGCTGTGTGGATAAGAATATCATCAATAAAATTATCAACATTGTCTAATCCACGCAACAAGTCACGCATGATTCGGCTAAAGCTCGCCGGAGCATTTACCAAACCAAAAGGCATAGCCTTAAACTGAAACAAACCATCTGGCGTCACAAAAGCTGTGAGTGGCTTTGCTTCTTCCGTTAGTGGCACTTGCCAGTAACCTTTTGTCAAGTCTATCTTGGTGAAAAATTGGTCATTGGCCAATTTACTGTAGATTTCCTCTGGGTCGGGGATTGGTTCAGCATCCGTCACTGTAACTTGGTTGAGTCTGCGGTAGTCGCAACAAAACCGTATTGCACCATCCTTCTTCTTAACCATGACCACCGGAGATGCATATGGTGAGGATGAAGGCTCCACTATGTCGAGATCAATCATCTTCCGAACTTCCTTCGTGACTTGCTCTCGTAGCGCATGTGGTAAAGGATAAGGTTTGCACTTGATGGGCTCCTTATCAGTCAGCCTTATGTCATGTTTCCCGAGGTTAGTCCATCCTGGTACATCAGTCATTGTCTCTTCAAACTCTTGAAGAAGGGTGCCAACTTTGTCGTGCTGATCTTGGGTCAAGTGTGGGCTAATTTGTACATCTTCGATGCTCTCCGACTGGGTGAGGGATGGAAGCTGGATTAGATCCCTGTGCACAGCTGATGTCTCTTCCAAATCATCTTCTTCCTCCTCATCCATGGTATCATCGACGACTGATGTACACACCACATCCAAGATGCCAACATGCTCTTCCCTTCTGAAGAATTTCTTAAGGAGATTGGCATGGAAAGTTTTGAATTTTCCACCCATGTCCAGCTTGTAGTCCATCTTTCCTATCTTCTCTGTTACCTTGAATGGTCCCCGCCATTGCATTAACAACTTATTGTTGTCAGTTGGTAGAAGAAGGAGAACTTCATCGCCGATCTCAAATCTCCTCATCTTCGCCTTCTTGTTGTACTGCTTTCGGTATCGCTCCGCGGCCTTGCCCAAATTCTCCTGAGCTACTTTGCAGGTTGCTTCTAGCCGATCTTTGAGGTCCAAGACATACTGATACGTAGTCTTCGTCTCGGCTTCAACTGCATCTCCTGTCCAAAGCTCGTGAAGAATTGCAAGTGGACCACGAACTGCACGACCGTACAACAGTTCGAAAGGCGAGAATCCGGTACTCTCTTGAATAGATTCCCTGTAAGCGAAAAGAAGAGGGTTAATGTAACGGTCCCAGTCTTTGGGTCGTTCCTCACACATTTTCTTTAGCATCGATTTCAAAGTCCCGTTGAATCTCTCCACTAATCCATTACACGCTGGGTGATATGGGGTTGTGGTCATCTGGCGGATCGAAAGGAGTCTACTAACTTCCTTCATTAAGCCCGAAGTGAACTGTCCGCCATTGTCCGTCAGAACTTCACGTGGA